ATGTTATCCTAGCCTATCTTAGACTTTTGAATGTTAATGAAGTTGATTGAAATCACTTGATTAATTTTTTTATTTTCAATTCGATTGAATTCACTTGATTTAAAAACGTGTACCACATTAGGCCTTAATGAAGTTGTAAAATAGTACTTATCTGAATATCTGCGCAAAGGTTTCCATCAAGATCCAAATGCTAATTAAGGGATGGTCAAAATGGCTTCAGGATTAATGCTTTAACTAGCTAGTGATTTTAACCGTCTTGTTTTAAACTAGTGGCTTAATGTTTTAGGAAGAATGTTTTAAACCAGAGATTCTAAAATCACACATTTCCAAGATTATTCTTGAATAAGAGTTGTTGACTTGTTGTATTCAATAAGTACAATCTGCGCATTATTACCAATTAACCTTGGAAAAATCACTATATCATTAGGAAATTAAATATATTCAATTCCTAAATAAAATCAAATTCATGTTTGGTAGAATTAGTATATGATTAGGATTCTAACCAAAATCAAATCCTAAACTTATCACGAATAATAATATTAATATTTCCTATATATCTTTTTAAAGCCTTTGTGCTGCTGATGCTGATCAAACCATGCATTATTTGGTTAAGTTAAAGATATATTGCATGTACAATGGCAGCAGAATTGAAGCATCATCTTCCTCCTCCCATCACATCTCCTACCCAAGAATGTAAGAGCATCCAAACTAAGGGGAGAATGTGGAGTTATTTCAGAAAAAATCACTTGGGTAGAATTATTTACAAGCGTGGGATGAAGTTATTAGATCAAATAATCATCCTGCAAATTACAAAATAATGTCAGAAAATAATTACAAAATAACTATCTTTTGTCTGCAGTTATCAGTCATGCATTTGTAAGTACAATTGCATTGGGTTTCGTAATTTGGCCGCTATTTGATAAAGCAACTATGGTCAATTTCTATCCATATGCACCTCCCGTATCATTATCATGTATTGGGTGGTATATTAGTATATATTTTACCCTTAGTAGGGAAATTAACAAGTTATCTCCAACTTCCCAACTTCAATGTGTTCGTCAAATATACTAATTATTTTGTTGGGGAGGATGGATTAATGTGGTAGAAGATGATGTAAGCAATTTAAGTGTGGTTGAAGCTAGACTTTATGAATTTGGTTTTTGTGTTACATTCGCAACTATTTCTCCGTTGTTCCTCATGGTGACGGTTGAATTAACATGGTCCTTGATCAAATCTGTTGAGGATAGAATTTTTAAGATAATTGTTCTAATTGTTACTAGTTCTCTATTTTTGTTTAGCATGTGTTTGTTATATATACAAATGAAGGATCGGAACAAAAAGATTTCCATTGCTTATGCAACGACTGCTTCAATTCATCCGGCTCCCAAGTTAGATTGTGAAGACGTATAGATTATGTTTGATTTTTTTCCATTTTATTTATAGTAAGGAGTAATTTTTTAGTTTTAGTTTTTTTTTATTTTTTATTTTTTATTTTTTTATTTTTATGAATCTGTTTATTAAGATAGAATTTAATGATATCGTTACAATGAATGATTGTCAGAGCCTTTTGTCTTCTTTTCATACGAGTTCCCATCTCTTTATCAACGTACTGATCAACAAACAAGGTGGTTCATGTCTTAACTAGTTCATTTGGCTCTTAGTATGATCCTTCCTTCTGAGGGTTTGATCCCCTATTTTGCATCCAACATTTACTATCTTAATGTGAAGTTTGTTTTGTCAGAAAAACTGGGTATGAATATTTTATGTCTCAAATAAATAAATGTAATGTCTTATTGAAATTTAGAACATAAATTGTATTCATTATCATTGAGATAAATTTTATTGTATTATTGCATTAACAAACAATATAATATTACAAAAGTAAATTATTCCACTTTTAAATTTTTATATGACTTTCAAGCATTATATTAATCACCACTCATACATTAATTGGATATTAAATCATTAAAAATTACAATTACCAAATAATTTTTACCATGATGAGTATGCAAAAATTAATTATTACCATAGTTTTTTTCAACTAATATTTTTATAGAATGGTGGCCTTCAACCAATCAAAATCAATATTTGCCATATAAGTAACATGTAATTAACTTGGATAACCGGTATTTTAGTACGTGTAAATGTATATTTTGTGTTGTTTGGAAGTCAACTACATTAGTTGTCCGGGTTCTTCAATGGTGAAGTAGAGGGCTTCAGGCTGCTTTCCCCAAGGTGTAAATTTTGGTTGGTGATAATGAACCAAAATCGATTTAATATCCCAAAAATAATATTTATATATATACACACAAAAATATATATAAAATATTATTGGATATAATATCCAAAATATATATATATATATATACACACACATAAATATATATATAAAACGGATCCAAAAGTTATATATACATATATATCTATGAAAAGATATATCAATATATATCAACAAAAACCAAAATGAAACTTATAATCCTCAGATTATAACTCCAATCAACAAGAAAGTAAAGAGGATTTTTGCTTAGAGCATAATCCAAAACAAGAAAGAGGGGGGAGGAAGAAAGAAGAAATACGAGTTAGGCGAGGTGCCTTTATTTTCTTAAAATCTTATTTGTCACCTCCCAAAAGTGCTAGGAGTGTTGTGACCTAGGTTTTTCAGGATAAAACGTACAACGGTCCGACGTTTGAGCACCCAAACGTACAACGGTCCGACGTTTGAGCACCCAAACGAACGAACCCGGCGAACAAGAGCACAGGCAAAACACAGCTTCAAGAATGGAGTAAGAGCAGAGATTTTGGAGCTAGGAAAACAAAATTTCTGTGTTCTCAATCCGTGTGGAAATACTGCTGCTACACTCCTTCTTATATAGGGATGTAGGACATCAAACACCAGCCTAAACAGCAAGGCCATTATGTTGAGATTTAATTCAAAATCAGAATTGGAATTAATTCCGTAACGGATGAATTTAATTTCCAACAGTCAAACCGTTGGCTCTTGCTGTTCAACACGAGAGCCTTAGGTTTCAGTCTCCTCCAAGTCAGCCAATTTCCGGACGACATTCGTGCCCGCGCACATGAGCTTGGACTTGAATCAAGCCTTTTCGATCTTGTTTCTAGTTTGAATTTGATTTGCACCAGAATTGCTTCTTTCACGGGAGAGTTTGAAGATGCAAGTATCTCCTTCTTCAAGATTATTACCTGCAATGAACTCAGGCCAACCCAGGGTAATGAAGTTGTAAAATAGTACTTATCGGGAATATTAATGCTTTAACTAATGGGTTTAACAGTACTGTTATCGGGAATATTGGCGCAAAGGTTTTCATTAAGATCTAAATGCTAATTAAGGATGATTATGATTACTTTCTCAACCCTTTCGAACATACTTGAATAAATGTTGTTACACAAGTGACTTTATTACATTGTAGTATGTTTCAAACAACATACAACATACACCTTTTGAAGATACTTGAATAAATGTTGTTGTTGCACAAGTCACTCTATTACATTGTAGTATGTTTCAAACAACATACAACGCCTCCACTGAGGCTCGATCTCATGTCATCTGAGCACAAAATGCTTGACAGTCCTAATAATGGTATAGTTATTAAAGTTTGGAAAAATTAATATATGATTAGGAAATTAAATATATTCAATTCTTAAATAAAATCAAGGGAAAATGGCACTTTTCCCCCCTAAATTATATACTTATAGCACTTTTTCCCCCTCAATTATTTATGTAAGCACATTAGCCCCCTCAATTATTTTAAAAGTGATGGTTTTTCCCCCTGATATATTAAATTGACATTTTTACCCTTAAAGTAAACATTTTATTTATTTTACTTCTCCAACAAATTATTGTGTATATGTAGCAATGACCACGGTTCGGTTCGAACTGAACCGGACAGTATAGCAATCGAATTAAAAGTTTTCGGTTATGATTCAAATCTAGAACCTAATATTTGGATTTCAATTTATTAAATTTATGAACCAAAAAAATTGGATCATGAACCGTGAATCGGCGGTTCCGGATCCGGTTCGCAATTTTGAACCGTTTTTATTTTAAAATTTTATTTTATTTTTTATTTTAAAATAGTCTAAATTCAACAATAAATGTATTTTATTTATTTTTAGTTCGGAACATGAACCGGCCATTCCGGTTTGCGATTTTAATAAACTCTAAATATCGCGTTTTGATTCTAAATTGTTATTGGAATATTTTGGTTTGGTTGCTATAGTATCTGTTTGGTTTGAACCAAATTATAATAATAATTTGTTGGAGAAGAAAAATAAATGAAATATTTATTTTAAATATTTATTTTAAGGGTAAATATGTCCATTTAACATTTTAGAGGGAAAAAGAGCCACTTAAATAATTAAGGGGGGAAAAGTGCTATATGTATATAACTCAGGGGGAAAAAGAGTCATTTTCCCTAAAACCAAATTCTATGTTTGGTAGAATTACTATATGATTAGGAAAGTAAGTATATGTAACTCCTAACCAAAATCAAATCCTAAACTTATCACGAATATTGCATGTACAATGGCAGCAGAATTGAAGCATCATCTTCCTCCTCCTCCATCACATCTCCTACCCAAGTATTTAACTATTTTTTGTGTGCAGTTGTCTATAATGCATTTGTAACCACGCATTTGTTATATATACAAATGAAGGATCGGAACAAAAAGATTTCCATTACTTCTGCAGCCGCTGCTTCAATTCATCCCGCTCCCAAGTTAAAAATTACCAAATAATTTTTTTATGAATACAGTCTAACATGCATTATCAGTAGTTGATGAAACTGAAAGCCTAAAACCTATAATGTTACAGAGATATCATCAAACTACAAGTACTAAACAACTAAATAATGATTGAATTACTATATTTTAGCTTTGGATGAATTCGTAAAACTTGTTTTTTTTTTTTTTTTTTCAATGATGGATCATGGATATATGCATTTACAATCTTGAAGCATTGTGTCTCTGTCTTGCCCATCATGGATTGGATGACCCAAACTCTACGACTTCTCCACAATCATCCGATAATTAAACCATTAAAGAAGTAAAAATAGCTGTTATGTTCTTGAAGTCCGATCCCATATATACAAGTTGAAGAAGGCAAGCTAAGCCTAATCAAACCTAAAAATCTTGGGGAAAATGATCTAGCGACGATGGTAGAAAATGCAAATTCTTTGAAAGAAACATCGAATCTTAATTCAGCAAAGCACAAATTAATGAATGTAACCTAGGTTGATGCTCGGAGAACCTCAACTTCTAAAACAACAGCATCATCAAAACTGCTTCTTTTTCTGAGGAGTTTGAAGATGCAAGTATCTCCTTCTTCGAGATTGTTCCCTGCAATGAACTCAGGCCAACCCCGGGTAATGATGGCGTATTTGGTCCTCCCACCTTTGCAAACCTTAAGGCTAACTTGCCTCTCGTCGCTTGGACCTTTCAGAGTTATTCTTGCGTTTTGGTACAGTTCATTGGCTACACAGAATTCTGCAGGTATATGCTGAAGTTCACACATATCAATTGAAGTCAGTAATCAGTAAAGGAAATTTTTTTATGATTCTTCAAAGATGAGAAAACTTACCATGTAAGGAGATCTGCTACGGAGATGATATGGCTTCATTAATGTTGAAAATTGCAAACATTGTTCCGGGGAAGATGTATTCACCTTACGTTCTCTTTTTCCTACCAAAAATCAAACTTCATTCAACTGTATTTTATTCCAATAAGACATTGTGTGTAGAGAGTAATATGCTAAAAGTTAATAATGCAGATCAGAGAATGAAACTCGAGAATTATTTTGTTTCTGTTTTCAAGGTGTAATTCATCTACTTGTGAGAATTAAAATCATGCATTCATTCAACAGTATAACTTACTTTTAGTGTCCCCCTTCTTGTCCTGTGCACATCCTTTCGGTTTGGAAGGGACTTGATCTTTGTGATTTTCCTGTTCCAGACTACTTTTGTTCTTGTCATTCTTCACTGGCGATTTGTTCTTTTCATGTTTCTGAGTTATTGCTGGGGAAGGTGCATTATCATCATCCGTTTCCTGCTTCACAGAACATTTGTTCATATCATGTTTCTGAGCTTTTGTTTGAGAAGGTGTTTTATCATCATCCCTATTCAAATCATGTTTCTGAGATTTTGCTTGAGAAGGTGTTTTATCATCGTCCCTATTCTGCTTCGTAGAACATCTGTTGATATCACGTTTCTGAATTTTCACTTGAGAAGGTACTGTTTTATCATCCCTCTTGCGTTTCACAGAACGTTTGCCCTTTCCAGGATTCCCAAGTTCTATTTGTAAAGGCACTTCATCTGCAACCTCAGATTTCACGGGTACCTTGATGGCATGTTGTTCCTGAATTTTCACCTCGGAAGGGCAAGCCTTTTCGCGGTCTATCTCAGCTGGCAAGGCAACAATTGAGTTCTCTTTATTCCTTTCCTGATCTGCATTACGTTTATTTACTCGGGAATGCCCTCTTTCTTCATGAATATTTGTTCGGGAAGGGAGGTCCTCATTGTCAATCTCAGCTAATATGGCATATAACGGAGCAAGACGAGCATTAAGGTGATAAGTTATCATGTCTTCATCCTCTTCCATCTTGATAGCAACATCTTCACCTTCTTTTTCATCAATGTTAGCTATTTCAATTGAGAGAGGGGGCAGTGTTTCATCTTGGCTTATCTGAGTTAATGGATTGAGCTTAGAAGCCATGTTCTGTTCTTCTTCTGACTGGGAAAACACTTTCTCAGAGCCACTTTTATCCAGCAAAGAAACATTGAAGCAAATGCCACCACCTATGTATTCAAATACTGCAAATTCCCCAACTCTTAAGCCATGATTCTGCACAAAAACTTCCCAACCCTTCTCAAAGTAAAGCTTCCCTTGGCTGCCATGTCCAATCCCCACATCCCATCTCCCCTTTTCAGTGATTAATGTTGCTGTTTTTAATACCTTATCCCCTTCAAGCTTTTCACAGACGATTGGCGGCAGAGTCTATTGCCAAACAATAAAAATAAAAAGGAAGATTAACTAAAAGAAACAATGGCTCTAGCATTTACTTATTCACCAAGAAAAGAACGAATATCAGAATACATACAGAGACGATCATAACATGCATTGTAACCAAAATCTCAGATTGAAGGAGAGCAGAACAAAACCCAGAATCTCAGATTAAAGGAGAGCAGAAAAAAACCACAAATTCCCAGAATTTAACAAATTCTTGAAGGAGCAAAAGTGAGAAAAGGAGAGATTTTGATCGAATCCCAGAATTTAAAAGAAGATCAGAAGGCAGGGGACATACATACCAGTTTAGTCTGGAAACCAGAGGCCATGACTTTAAAGAACCGCCACCCAACCTGAAGCTTGGCTTCCATACCAGGCGGCGGCGGAGGAAGAAGCAGCGGAGTCCCGTGTTTCATCGGCGGCGGAAACAATTATACGAAGATTCTGCGGCTGTAGCTAATACCCAGTTACGCTGTTCAATGTCTCCTGAAGACACCGAGGATTATGATCAAATTCAGGGGGTCCCGAGACCCTAAATACAGACTTCATCATGGCGTTAAATTCGGATTATAGTAATTAAGATTATAGTCAAAATTGGAATTCCAGACAGCTTTGCTTTCTGTGCCAAACTGCCACGACAGTATTTTGAAGATTTTAATGTTGGGCTTTATACACTAGGTAGTCCGATATAACCGTTGGCCCACTTTCTTTAGGCTTCAGAGTTTAGAGATTATTATAATTGAAATTATTTATATATATAAATCAGGCTTTAGAGACTATTATTGCTTGTTCATTTTGTTTTCTTTTTATTTTGCATCTCTGTAAGTTTTCAACTGTAATCATCTTAAATGCAAATGCTGGATTTTGATATTATAAATTTAAAAATTATTCAGAATCTTTTGATAACTGTTATAAAAAAAAAAAAAATTAATGATATTATAAAATTTCATTCTAACAAAGACTCTTACAAATCAATTCGTAAATTAAAATAAAAAATAAAAAAAATCTAAATAATTATGACTCATAAAATAGAAAAAAAAAAAAAACAAACATAATTTATACCCCGGCCTCTTCACATTCTAGGTTGGGAGCTGGATGAATGGACACCGCAGTTGCCAAAGCAATGGAAATTTTTTTGTTCCAAACCTTCATTTGTGTATATAATAAATACGCGCTTACACTGAACACTAAACTAAAAACAATTAAAATAATAATGTCAGAAGTCCTATGATCATCATTTGACTTGATCAAGCTCCATGTCAAGTTAACCACAGCCTAGATGGAACACAGAGAAAAATATGCTAAGAAAATACAACAACCAAGTCCATAAAGTCTAGCTTCAACTATATTTAAATTGCTTGCATCATCTTCTAATCCTAGAGCAACACACCATCTTCCCAAAATAAACTGTTGGCATATTTGTTCAATACGTTGAATTTGAGAAGTTGGCGATAACTCTTTAATTTCCCTCCCAACTTTAACAGCAACAAAAATACTAATATACCATGCAATGGATAATAATAATAGGAGACATACAAATGGATACAAATTCACCATAGTTTCTTTAAGAACTAGCAACAAAATTAGGGAAAGGATAAACACACCTAATGTACTTGCAATTGCAATATGGACAAGTTCACACAAAAAATCGTTAAATGTTGATGGGAGGATGATCTGCCATTGCACATGTAATATCTGATCTCTAACTTAACTCAAAGGCATGCACCCAAATAATGATTTGATCAACTGCACAATGGCTTTAAAAAGATAAGAAATATTATTATTTTTATTATTATTTCTGATTTCTGATAAATTTACGATCGAATTGAATTTATTTACTTTCCTAATCATATACGAAGAAGTAATTTGAATTTGTTAAAAATACTAATAAGTAATAAAGTGTCACTTATAAAGAAAGTGTATTACTTTTGAAGAAAAGAAAAATGTAATATTTTTACATTTTAATCTAAAAGTATTAAAAGTCTATGAGTCATTCTAAACTTATACATCATTCAATTAAGCTAAATATTCACTTCTAAATTCAAACAAAAAATACTTAATATATTTACACTATAATATAATAATTGTAGTAAATTTGAGGTACAATAACTTTGAAGGGAAGTTGTCGGAGGAACAGTTTTATAAAGAGATGGACGCGATTTTCTTGAATAATAATCGCTTCTCTTCGACCATCCCGGAAAGTATGGGGAATTCCTCGGCGTCTGTTGTGGTGTTGGCTAACAACAACTTCAAAGGGTGCATTCCCAGCAGCGTTGGGAGAATGGCGAATTTGAGGGAAATTGTGTTGTTGAACAATGATCTTGTGGGGTGTATGCCGCCGGAGATTGGGAAGCTGCAAAATGTGACGGTTTTCAGTGGTGCTGGGAATAAGTTTTCTGGGATTTTGCCTAAGGGGTTTAGTGGGCTCGAGAAGGTTGTGGAATTGGATGTTTCTGGGATTGTTTTGACTGGGTTTGTCCCGGAGGAGATTTGTAGACTGCAGAATTTGAAAAATTTTAGGTTTTAGTATAATTATTTTAATAGGGAGGAGAAATGGTGTGGTTCCAGTTTAAGAAAAAAGGTTTTGTTAGAGGATAAAAGTTATTGTTTGTCAGAACGATCTAATCAGAGGGCTCAAAAAGATTGTCATAAGGTGGTGGGCAAATCGGTGGATTGCAAGGCGAAATGTAGTGGTGAGAAATCTCATAAGGTTGATCCGTCGTTCTCCCCGCCTCCTCCGCCACTAAAGCAATTCCCACCCCCTCCGCCGCCACCCCCTCCACCACCTCCTATGCAACACTCGCCGTCGCCACCAAAGCAATCTTTAGCTCCACCCCCTCCGCCGCCACAAAGGCACTATTCACCCCCTCTGCCGCCACCGACACCTAAACAGAAATCCCCATCGCTGCCGCACTACCATGATGTTAACCTTCCTCCAGATATTGGTGCAGTTTACGTCTCACCACCTCCACCTATTTTCAAAGGATATTAAATACCATGTCGCTAGATTGTGTTAGTGTTAGTTTAAGAGTAGGAAAATCCAAAAATATAAAAGTTTAGATATCAAATGAATTAGAAAGATAGTTGATGAAGTTCATCCAATCCTGTTGTACTTCTTCAAGTCTGCTGTAGATGGAATCATATCAAATGAAAAAGATATCTTAGTGTTCATCCATAACAACATGCATATATCTTTATTCCCAAGCAGTGAAGTTGGATATATTTCTAACAACAAAGTTTCTAACTTGAACATTAACTTCTTTGTTTTTCATATCCAAAACTTATCCTTTCTTTAATTAACTTTTGTTTGTTCTGGGATTTTGTCAATAAATCTTTACTGCGAAAGGGATAGTTCACATTTGGCATGTAACTATTCGTGCCATTCAAGTTTGACTTTTTGGTGCCTGGTCCCCTACTCCACCTTCCTTCTTTGTCATGTTCTTCCTTCAAAGCCATTTCCAAATTTAAGTGTGTCAGAGTTATGTGTTACATGCAGTTAGAATTGCTTGTCATTGAAAACCACTAGTACATCATGCTTAGTTTAAATGCAAATTGGTACTATAAATAATACATGTGGGCTACACTTGTCGCGCCCGCTTAAAATCACTTAATCAATTATTTTTGTATAACATATGACATGTGATAATATTGTGCAATTTAATTTTTGAAAATCAACCACTATACAAGTATACAGTGTTTATGTGCATGCTCTTAAAAATGACTCAATTAACTATTTTCATGTAAAGAAGTATAATGTGTGATAATACTTTGCCTCAGACTGGTTTTCAAAGTTCAACTTCAAATAAATTTCGGGAGTCTTGTTTGAACTCAAAATCTTGTAATGAAGAATATATGGATGGTAGATAAATTTGAATGTTGTGGTGTTAAGAATCATGTCTAGATCCCTATGTTATCATGTTTGCCCACAAAGTTTGCCACATTAATCACAAAATCTCCTAACATGTCTACCCATTTCTTTCGCGAATGTATGCTTGAAATCATGGCATATCTATCCTTCCTGTTTCATGCTTTTTGACAAACCATAAAAGCCTTAAACCTTTTTGTTGCAAAAGTATTTAGCCTTTTAAGAAGTTGTTCCAATCTGTCCTGCAAGATAATCCTCACTTGTGATAAAAGTAAACTTGCAATAAGTGGCAATGATTATGAGTTCCATGGGATGGTAAAAGTAACATCCATTGACTAGTGTCTTAAGATCAAATTATAAGGCTAGTGTTTCTTTAAATCACCATTTCACCGCTACCTAGGTTGTATGTGCAAGCTTAAAGGACTATTAAGGGTGTCTTTGGTTGGTGGATTTTGTCAATAGGAATTTGTATGAGTATGAAAGTGATTGTTGTTATTTGGTTGATAGGTTTTTAGAACACTATTATGGGTTTCAAATATCCCATCAATTAAAAAACGCATACCCAAATAAAATAAGTGTTTCATTCCCTTATTTATTCTAAAGCACTACTGTTAGTAATCATTCTCATTCCATCCTACTACCAAACATGTTAAATACTTTCACCAAAACTCATTACCATTACCAAGTATTTGATACCCATTTCGATTACTATGTGCGAACCAAACACACCCTAAATTTTCTCACAATAAAAGCTGCCACATCTTAACTTGACAAGATAGTGAAGAGAATAATCGATGTCTAATGCCTGCAAAGAGTCCACCATATTATGATAGTCAATGCTCAATTTGTGCTCTTTTTCACAATCTAACACTTAAAACTAACTGAACTGTATATGCTGAATAGCGATGGCTGTTTGCGAGAAGTTGTACAGCGGGCGGGACCCAGAGAAGGCAGCACTAGGAACTGCAGTGATTGTAGCAATTGGAAATGGTCAAGCCGTCCTACTTGGGTTGATTGAAATTTTGTTCCATTTAGTGTACCCACCCACTGCACGCACCACCGGGACACAGAGAGAGAAAAATCACTACAACCTTGAAATCTATATCCACACACGTACGAGAATAAGAATAACAAAAACCGGTTCTTGGGGCGAATGGTTTTCGTGGCGCAAAACGTCGTCGCGAAATCGCAAGAGATTGGCTCCGATCCGTTTCGTCAAACAATAGTGGCGGTCGCCCAGATTTTCAATCAGAGTGGCGTGGTCAATTAGCTAGAATCGCAGGCTTATTCGCAATGATTTGAAAGATCACCATCCCCACAGGTCACCAACAACAAACATTATTCAAACTCTCAACGTTTGCTAGGGTCCCTTTGATGGAATTAATGATGTCCTTTGTCACATGCCATTATTCATTCTCTGGATCCCGGTTTTAGCCTTGCCATGATGGTCCAACCAGGCGAACAATTTAAGCCCCAGGACAGGGTACAAGGTTAAAAAAAGAATCAAATACTGAAAAAATTAAGAACAGCACTGTACTATAGCAGAAGAAAGAGAATAACCCTTGGCTTGAAAGCGACATTTCATCACAGCAGTAGCCTCAGAGAATCGCAGTGCAAGAGACATTTCAATACAAGTCTGAGTCTCCGACTACATACATAGATCAGTCACAGAGTTAGTCTTACTATGACTCAACCCATCCCACAATACATGTCTTTTGGTTGGGTTTAACATTATCTGATCCACTATTAGAGAAATATTTTTACAACATGGTATATTTGTAAAAGAATCAATTTTTTTGGCTGACAAGATATTTGAAAATTTTAATTTTGTGTCATTCTCTCATTATCACAATAATAAGATAAATTAATCTAAGATTTTAAGTTGTACATAACTGACAGACATAAACTAATTGACCAATTAACATGAATAAGAATGTGAATAGACAGCTCCTACATGAGTGTGCTTATTGACCATTGAGATGGTGATTTATTCTAAACAATTGGTCATACATAAACAAAACTCGTACTAGGAAGTGAAGGGGAAGAACATCATGAAAAGAAACAAAACAAAAAACATGCAGGCACTGTGAAGTCGTCGTCTTGTACAGTAGAAGAAGAAGAAAAAAAAGAAAGTGTAAAATAATAGGGGGAAGTGGGAAGTGGTGGCAGCAGGGGATGATGAGATGAGAGGGGGCAAGAGAATCATGGACAGTGGGAAGAGAAGAATTGCAGAGGCCGAGATATCCGGCAAATACGCAGAGAGAAAGAGATGCGCATATCGAAAAGGAATAGGAAGACGAAAGTGAACCAATTATTGCCCCCCACGCTAGCCCGACAGCAATTATGCTGTCGCCTACTCTCTATAATCTCTAATCCCCAAAAACCCCCTTCGCATTTTAATTCCTTTTTCCATGCGCCTTCTTGGTGGTTTAGCTCAACACGCCATAACCCACCCGGCCCCAACTCCCCGCTCTCCCTATTTTAATTTACGAATCATTATGCTCCAATCTCGAAATTTTGGTAGAGAATATATTAGTATAGGTTATTTAATGATTTATAACGTTTATTTAAAATATATTTACTTATAATTGTTTTTTTTTTTACGGGGTTTATGAATATACATGGAGGTCTTCACCCAAACAAATAATTAGTATAAAAAGATTTTTCAACTGTGTCATTAACTTAAATCATTTTGTAAAGTATATGACATGATCAATTTTGATCAATCAGTAACAAAGTGTCATATCTCTTCTTGGTGGCGCTTCCGGTCTTGATCTCTAATAACTTGTCGTACACTAAGGTTCTTTGATGTATGAAATAGCACTTTCGTTCTCATATTATAATTTCACTATTGAAACTTATGTGATGTTTTACAACTAACAAATTGTCGATGGCATGTCAACACTATCGTCAATAAACAAAGTCAAAACACCAAGGGTTGAATAATAGAATGCAAGGAGACTTAGAACAATAGTACTACCTCAGTTGCCCAAAGTTCCATGAAATTTATATATACTTTACACCCACGGGAGAGTATATATACACGAGGTTTATTTGTACAAAATAGAAAATGAATCCATAGCCCCATGTGATTTAGTGTAGTTGGTTCGTCACCTAAATTAATTAAAAGTCATGACAGGATGCGACAGTGTTAGGATTTGAATCTCACTAATAAACATATATATATATATATGAAAAAAAAAAAGGCACAAGGATGTTAGAAGGTCTAGGTTGGATCCTTTGTGCACACATGAAGACTATGGTCTAATCAGTGAGCTGATTGCGCGACTTGTGATTTACCTCAACAATAACTATAGGGACAAGGTCATGTGAGTTTAAGATTAGTCCGAGGAATCTGTGATCACATTACAATAAAATAAAATAAAAAATCTCTAAAGCCAACTCTACCAAAAATGAACTAGAAACTTCTTAAAACATGAATAGGAAAAGTGATCTAGACTAAGCAACAAGTTTCTAAATTCTCATTTAAGAGAGATCTCCATATCCCGTTACCCTTATTCTCAATATATAATCCTCTGGACACTCGAATAATCTTCCGTACACTGTCGCAATCTAAGACTAGTAGTCCGACCAATCCTTTGATTGTAGACCGACCAATTGCTTCTAAGGCTCTAGGTTGATCGCTCAATCACTAGTATCACCTCAATACTATGTATTATATTGTAGCTAGATAATTAAAGCATTAAGATAAGGTTTTAAAGAATGATGAAACCGTTTGTCATGAAGATGGAAGATTTTGGCATAAAGTGTTTTTTTAATCAAGATTTAGTTATTAGTGGCTTAAATTTTAACACCATGCAAGCATTATTGAGCGCCGTTGTACTAGCCGGATGCAATAAAAAGTAGAATAGTTAATGGATAATGAGTAGTGGTAATGCACCCACTAAAGAATGCATTATGCATGCTCAAATGGTAGCACCCAATAATCAATCCACGATTCAGGAATTTAGATTAGCCATCATTGTACATACCAACAAAAGTAGTAGCAACCCCCCGCTGATTTTGGATGAATAATGATTTGCTACACCATATTTTATTGTTTTGTTTGTTTGCTTGTTTTTGTTTTTGTTACTTTTTGTTTATTCAATTAAAAGGAGAAATTTCAAGATAAATAAGAGAGTCTTATTTTTTTTTTATTGTGAATATAGCATAAGATTAAATTATTAATTATGTCAATCATATTTTCTCTCATAAATTATTATGAAAATACAGAATAATGAATCATTCAAATTTTCTAACTTGCAAAATAGAAGTTTTCACATGTTTATATGCAATCATGTTATGTTCTCTAAACACATGCTTAACTCTTACTTTTTAATCTCCTTCCGTAACATGTTGCACTCAAAAAAGATTTCACAACGGTTCACAAATTCTATCCCGTCAAACATTTAATCACTATAACACACAATTCTTTCTATCTTGATACATTGAGTACACCACTAAATAGTAAATATTATACCTTATTATATACATATAATTTTTGCTTTTTAATGTTTAGAAAAAGTTATATAATAGCTTTAACTTTTATTTGAAAATGACAAGTACTATATTTCATTATTTTTGAAATTGATACCCTAAATCAAAAAAATAAATAATCATATAAAAAATGATTTGTTTCATATAAAAAAATTTGGATAAATTAGTAAATAATTAAATTGTTTAATAGAATTCCCTAGTCCTAAAAGTAGGCTGAGCAAGAAAAGAGTGATTTTAGGAAAGCGGGTCAGGCCCCCCCTTGGTTCTCTCTGAATATAAATTCTACTCGCCACTCTAATCCAAACACAACTGTGTCTTTTCTCAAGCTCTTCAACCAAAAACAAATATTTGTCTTCTTCACTATCAATCTGCTTTTTCCATTCCTCCATTTCGCCTGAAATCGCTGCAAGAAGCCAAACCCCAGAAAATTCCAAGGCTTAGCACCTGAAGAGAAGATTCAGAGAAACAGAAGGACAGAAATGTCTTCCGACAGCGGGGAGAGACGGCCGGGGAGGATGACGGGAACGGCGGGGCAGAAGTCAACGGAGCCGGAGAATCTGCCATGCCCGCGCTGCGATTCTACGAACACTAAGTTCTGTTACTACAACAACTACAACCTCTCTCAGCCTCGCCACTTTTGCAAATCCTGCCGCCGTTACTGGACCCGCGGCGGCACCCTGCGGAACGTCCCCGTCGGCGGCGGCACCCGCAAGCAGCCCTCCAACAAGCGCCCACGGACCAACACCCTCGCCGCCTCATCCCCTCCTGACATGCCGCCTCGGGAGCCGTTCCACTCTGCCGGGTCGGGTTGCGAGGTGAACCTGAATGAGGCGGTGCCGGACCCCGGCACCGCCAGCTTCACGTCATTACTGGGCTCCCCGGTCGGCGGCGATGGCGCTGGGTTCATGTCACTGGGCGGGTTCGGCCTCGGGCTCGGAGACGCCGGCATGCATGGATTCGGGTTCGGATTGGGCATGGTGGACTGGCCCGCGGAGACAGTAGGTGCAGCTCCCTCTGGAAATGTGAACGGAGGCGGGCCTACAGTGGGTGGGCCCGTGGGTTCATCAAGTTGCAACACGTGGCAAATGGGCGGTGGTCTCGTCGACGGCACCCTCGGTGACGGCGGAGATTATTTCGGCTGGCCGGACCTCGCAATATCGGCGCCGGGCAGAAGATCTTGAATATTGTACGCGGTAAACAAAAACAAGTTCGCTTCTGTTTCTTAGTAGTTTAGTATAACAGGAATTTGAACTCTAAAAACTCCGACTTCTGTTAATCATGTTTTGGTTCTTGTTTCTTTATTATTATTATTAATTATCATTAGTCCTGGTAATTAAGGTACCGCTACCTAAAACTATTTCATCGATTACTTGTGCTGGATTTCGGATTGGTGTGACTGTAGATTTATTTTTCCCTTGTTATTTTACAGGAGCTTTTGTTAATGTAAATGCTTAAAAAAATCATATCTTTTTGACGAGTTTAAGATGAAAAAAGAATCTGGTTCTTGGCTTGTTTTATATAACTATTGTCTTCCCAACATGTTCATATCTAGTTATCTTCTACTTTCGGTTACACGGTGGGGGAGCTTTGGGCATATTTTTAGTTGACAGTGATGCCTTTTCATTGCTACATCTTGGAAACTTCCGATGAGAACGTGTGGGGGCCTAGAAACCAAGAGAGTGCAACGTTGTATTTTATTGTGTTTATAGTACAATTTTGTCATTTTAAAGAATCACATTTATTAGTGTTTTTACTTCCATTTACTTTTCTCCCAAAGTTTGAATCCTCAACCCCAAGGCGTTCCCATATCCTAGAGCATTTGAGAAGATATAAATTAAGGTAACTAAATACGGAGTAGTTTAAGTGATATGCACACAAGGTCAAATGTTAGTACGTATAAATGATTTGTCCATTTTAAATATAATTCTTACACTTTCACTTCCAAAATTTAAACATTAATATTTTCTCTCAAATACTATTTTTTAAACTAGTGAGTTAATTCTGTCCGATGTCTTCATTTACTATCTATGGGTGTGGATGTAGCCCTAATAGATCTGGTCTTGTAACTCTTGTGGATAAAGGGTCACAAAAGAAGGAAACCAACTTAACAACTGTACTACCAAGATTGCTCCATCTTAAACTTGATTCTTTACCAATTCTGACTAACGCTTTCTTGATTAATTGTGTGGTGTTAAAGTGGTCAATCTCATTAACTCTAGTAGACAAATGATCATAATAAGCTTGATTCTCATCAATTTTTCTCTTTAACACCTTCTCAATTGGTGGCATTGTGGCAAAGGAAGAATGGAGGGCAGCCAAGTGCGACCATAGAAAGAAGGGTGTTGGGGTTTGGTACAGTAGTGGAAAATGGTAGAAGTGCAATGAATGCTACTGCGACTAGGAATTAGCCAGCAAGGCAGGTAGACCTACTGCCACTGGTACTATACTCTACATTTGAGTTGCGTGAGCCCGGATTCTACTATACTCTGATGAAATCTGATTATTTAAGGTAAAAAAAATTGGGTCTATATTTAAATCTATGTTTTTCAACAATGTACGGTATATAATCCAATTGACAAGAAAGGGTTAGGCAGGGACAATTGTGGATAAGAAAGATTGCATATATTCTTGTTTGGCCCTGGAATATATTGTATACGAACCATATCTAAAGCCAAATTGTTCTTCAACTTGGAACAAACAGCATTTCATTTCATGGGAAAAGCATAAGAATAAACAAAGATTTTGGTAGCTACATAGACATGATCAGATCAAAATTATGCATTATTGCAAAAGTAAACAGATACAATGCAGCCTCCACCCATGCTGTCTCTTTCCATCCACATTTCTTTAAGACGACGAAATAAGCCTGCAACCACTATCCAAGAATGTGCACTGAGTAAAACCCACTTTTCAGCTAGGAGGGTTGAAGAACTTTAGCTTTAGCCCGCTGTTCACCATGCTCCAAATACCGCCAATGGAGAGTGTCACGCTTAGAGCCACGCCTAACCAGCCGAGAATCCAGTTGAAGTACCAGTTGAAGCTGTACTTGGATGGCTTCTTTATGAGCACCCACATGAAGCACGGGTAGGCAAATGTGACGGGGAGAGTGAGTCCTCCTAGCAACCCGGTGAGGCTTGAGAGGAACGGGAGTGCAACCCCGATGAAGAATGAGAAGAACCCATAGAACACTCGGAAACCAGAGCGAACCCAGACTGAGCAAGGGCGGTTTGTGCGGCTGGTGTAGCTTGCTTCAAAGCTGTCGAAAACTGGCATCGAGTATATCTGGAAGCTACTCAGGCAGTTGAACACGACCAAGAGGAATGTCATCGCGAGAAGGCCTCTTGGGATATCGTGAATGTGGAATTCGAACAAGGCGCTTAGAATCCCCTCTGGCGGCATCTGAAAGGAATCAAATAGTGATATAACTTTTTTTTTTTTTGAGTACTACTGATTTTGTTATCTGTTCATAACTACTTTCTCAACCTACTCTGAGGCTCAAACCCACAATCTCCCACATAAAAGAACAACTTGATGCCAGTAGACCACAAGGTCTTTGGGAGGGATATAACTTATACACGAGCAAAACAAAAGATGGAACAAGCAGCATAAACACATGGAATGTGAAATGACCATAAAACTTACAAGGTTTCCATAAGCCCAGAAACCGCCAATGGCAATAGGGAACAAACTCATGGCAATTAACGAATAGGCAACCTTGGCTCCGTTCCACATTGGCACGTGAGCCGGGTGTTTGAAGGTTGATGGCATTGTTGCCTGTATAGAGCCAATATAGAAGCAAATTCATTTCACAATAGAGGATTAGTCGAAGAAATGGATTATATACTATATAGTATGTACCTGAATTTCTAGAGCCAAGTTGTGACCTCTAAACGCAAATGCTACAATGCCAAGAGCATTCAAGACTGTAAAGGCGGAAGCTGTGAAGGAAGGCAAGGAAATGGGGTCATAGGAGATCGACGGGGGTCGTGGTTTGCTGACAGAGAGGACCCACGCCATGGTAGAGTATACGATGGCCGTCACTGCTCCTACAAGTGACAGCCCCGCAATTGAATTGAGGTTTGGTAGCTGGGATAGGACTATGCAGAGAGAGGTGAACACGAGATACCATTCTATACTCGTCAAAGGATTTGAAGAACAAACCGAACCACAAACAATCTGAAAGAACAGCTTCATGGTTTCCCCTCCTATGAGAATCAACGCTGTTGCAGTTCCAGCTGACAGATATACGGTGGGGAAGACAGCAAGCCAAACGCCTAATTTTTCCCCTTGAAAATTTCAAAACACACAATTATTTCACACGTCGTTTCAAAGTTTAAGTGAAACTCGGTCTATTGTATCCAATCTCACCAAAAGCTGCTTGTGAAAGTTCTACATATCTATTATATCGCTTCCCGGGAACAGCTTCATGAAGCTGAACCAGAATCCAGAGTGTGTATAGCTGCCAGACGTAGGCTATGGTTAACGAAATTATTCCCCAGCTCCTTCAATTACAAGAAAAAAGGACAAATTCTCAATCACTTATGTTTCATGAATATTATCAAAATAAGTCACATAGTCCATTAACATAATAAAATGGAAACCTAGATTGCTGCTAACCATCTGGGATAAACTATGGAGTGTACATAAACAAAGATCTGCACTAAAAGATCCCTTCTTTTATATGACTAACTTTGAAGGGCTCTTAAATCCAGGCAATATTTTCAGCTTAATACTGAAGAATACAATCAAACTGTAACTATGTGTTCCCAGATAAATGCTCAAACAGAGGAAAAGTGGAAACCTACTGAAAAAGTGATGAATATGCAGTGCATGAAAGAAAAGAAAAGTCCATATTGGCAATGCAAATACCAATGAAGCACAAAGCTGCAAAAAACTGTATCATATCAAAAGACATGAAAACAGAATCATGAGTGACTGATTCTTGACATCCTAATGAAAATGAAAACAATGAAATGAATGACAAGACAAGCTTCAACCTTTAAGGATCTTTCTTGCTCCTACTGAAACTAATTCAATGACAGTCAAGAACCTACTCAAATTAGGCACATTTATGAACTTTTTCCCCCAAAACAGCAAAAGCAAATGAAAGAGTTGCAGTAAACACTGTACTCCAAGTAAATTTTAGATGAACAATTAAAGAAATGGATTAGTAATTGAAGGCACAGAAGAAAATTAAAGGAGAGGGAGATTTAGGTTTGAGATACCATCCAAGAAAAGAGAAAGCAACCGGCAAGACCAAAGCTTGGAACCCCACACCGGCATTGAGGTTATGGAAAGCAGCATAGTAAGCATTGCCATTGCGGGATTCAGTGATGGGAAGCCATGCGTCTTGTGGGTTGAGCTTGGTCAAGTGACCCATCTCCTCCAAGTAACCCTTCATGTTAATCAATGCCCTCTTCATTGGGGTACCAATGGGGCTAATGAACCGTGGAGATATGAAGGAAGAGGGCGTCCATGACTTGGCCTCCTTATTCCTCGGCGACCTCTGCCCTGACGGAGTCAATATCTCCGGCGTCGACGCGGGTGGCGTCGCCGGGATTGAAATTAGCTCCGTCTCCGGCCTCTCCTCCATCTCCGATCCCTCAGTAGCGAGACAACAACAATGTGTGTATACTATATATTGCGTGGTACGAGAAAAGGAGAAACTTTCCACAAGTCTTATCAAAATGGGTTTTCTTCTTTCTTTTCGTTTGTTGTTTAGTTGGTGTTCGTTTCTTTCTACTTTTTCTTGGGGTGGTCAGAGAATATGGACAGGGTTGCACATGCAATAATGGTTTGAGCCGAAATGAACGGCGTTATGGTGTTTGTGAGAGAGAGGGAGGTAGCAAAGCCGAAATCTTGGCCGTTGGTCTGTGCTCTAAGCAGCAATCTCGAGGTGGTTGCAATGGTGGTGGTGGTGGTGGCGGCGGCTCCACACGGCTTATTATTCAACAACTGCAGCCTGCAACCCTGCAGGGTGGGTGGTGTGAGACTGTGAGGTGAGGTGACAAATTTTGTTTTGTTTTGTTTTGCTTTTTTCCTTTTAAGTCAAATTAATCTTAACCATGGTCCAAGAATCATTAAAGAAAGCAAATAGCAAGTTACTTAGTACTCCCTCCGTCCTTAATTGATTGTCTTACTTGCTTTTTGATAAGAGTTTTAATACAACAAAAAATAAATTACTAACTTTCTAATGTTATCCTTCAAAAGTAGGTGTTGTTTGTACAGATTACAATTGTACTTACCTCTAGAAATTTGAAAAGTCAAAAGGGTAAATTAGAAAATGTAGAGTGATAGTTATATTCAATTTTAAAAAGGTGACACTATTTTGGAACAAATTAAAAAAGTAAGTAAGACAGATAAAATGATACGTAGGGAGTATCAAGTTGCAATAGTTATACCATGGACTCGGATCCATTTTGCAAGATGGATCTGAGTTCAAAATACACAATTTACATACTTAATGTTCATAATTTCAATTGTGAATATTTACGGGACGTTTGGTTGGAAGGAAGGAATTAAGGAGAAAAGGAATTGTAATTCGGTGCGAAAAGAATAAAGTGGGAATAAAGTAGGAATTACAATTACATTGTTTGGTAGGGAGAAATAATGAAAATGGGAGAAGCGATATAAAGACTAAAATACCCTTTGTGTAATAATATTAATAATAACATTCAAGGACAAATATGTCTTTTCCTTCCCTTTCCCTTTGCATGAATTCATTGAATTGCAATTCATAGGGGGGGGGGCTATGAATTGCAATTCAATGAATTGAGGGAATTGCAATTCCATGGAATTACAATTCCCTCCAACCAAACAATGTAGTTTATCATTTCATTGAATTGCAATTCAATTCCAACGCAATTCATGCCAACCAAACACCCCGTTAATGTGTAAATTGTGAAATTCAATATGTAAATTATGTATTTTGAACACGAATCCGCCTTGCAAGGTTGATCCCGGTTCATTGAATAATTTGCATTCAAATTCTTACCACTTGTCTATACACGTTGTGCATAGAAGGTCTTCATAATTTAGTTTTCCTTTTCATTTTTTTTTTTTTTTTGATTCATTAAGTTCCCAGCTTGAAAGCTTAACTACTTTAAACCCTCTTAACAATTGTTAGAGGAGATAAATCGTAAATTTATTTAAGTAAATTCTTAATAAGTTTTGTTATTGATTTTGAGTACAAGAGATTCATCTGATCATCTCTATAGTTAACTTTGAAGAAGCCAAACTCAAGAGTTGTTATTGGGAAAAGTCCAATAGTAACCAATCTGAGTTAGTAATACAAAATACATTATCTGCTACGGATCATGCATAAATAAGTGGACTGTCATTTTCAACGTTTGTAGTAGGTTGAGTTGCAGGGTGTTTGACTAGGAAATGCAGTGGTCCACTTTTTTATTTTATTTTATTTATTTATTTAATTTAATGGGCTTATAAAAGCAAAAAGCCCATTTCAGCCGCCGTCTTTAATTCCCAGACGGCCCAAACCTTTACCCGGACCCGCGTTTCGTCTTGGTTTCTCCAGAATCTCCGGTGTTTCTTCTCCTTCTCTCTGGGAGAGCTCTCCCGGAGTCTCAAACTTTGAATTTTCCAATTCTCGTCTGATCGTCGTAAATAGCTTCCGGTATAATTTGTTCGGCTCTTTTAGGTCCTCAGTAGTCTTCTTGGATTCTTTATTTGTTATTGAGCTCTCTGAAATTGCGGCTATGGCGATCCGATTCACCGTCGCTTACTATGGCTACGTCGCCCAAAGCCTTAGCTCCTCCGCCGCCTCTAAGGTGGTCGGCTGCCGGTTCCTCCACGAATGCTGCTCCGCCCGATCTCGTTTCTTTCAGAGCCCCGATTCCACGAGCTCTAACGATTTCCGCGGCTCCAAGCGCGACGCCAATTTCGTCAGTGTCCGACCGTCGGCCGCATCTTCGACGTTCTCTACGATTGCAGCCGACGTTCTCGGCTGCGGCTTGGAATCTCCACTGGTTTCGGGATTGATTTCATTGATGAAATCGCCGACGTTTTCTCCTGGGGTTTCGACTGCACCGGGTGTTTTCGGGATTTCTCCACTGAGACGAGTGTCGATCGTTCCGTTTCTGCAAGCCTCGAAGTGGCTGCCCTGCAATGAAGTCGGAATTGGAACAGGTAGTACTTTGTTGGATAATGGTGGCGCCATTACTGAGAATAGCAAAGAGGTTACTATTCCCAATAATTCAAACCCTTCAACGGCGACCTGGCTCTCTAAGATGTTTAGTATCAGCTCAGAGGATGCCAAGACGGCTTTCAGAGCTTTAAGCATCAGTTTGGTCTTTAAGTCCTCTTTGGCAGAGCCAAGGTCGATTCCTTCCACATCTATGTACCCTACTCTGAATGTGGGTGATAGAATAATGGCAGAGAAGGTATAATTAGCTCCTTCTCGTTTTAATTTCTGATTTCAGTTGTTAATGCATTTGAAGAAACTCAGTACTTGGTATAATTTTTAATGCAGAATGAAAAAACTTAGCAGATTAGCATAATTGGAAACTAATTAGATTATGAATGATAGTAGTGCCTCGATAATCACAATATTGTTGAGCTTGGTTCATTTTGCAATGTCAGCTTAGCAGATTAGCATTATTGGAGTCCTATGTTTGTTGTATTTAGTGTATGTATAAACAGTTAACACACATTCTCATGAAGGAACTATGCAGGTGTTTGTTGCTGTTCTATTCGCATGAAGGAACATATTAGGCAAATGGTTTTGTTATGTGGATGTTTATGCTGTTTTATCTGCATTTCAGGTGTCGTATATTTTCAGGAAGCCTGGAATTTCTGATATCGTGATCTTCAAAGCTCCTCCTGCTCTCCAGGTATGCTGGTGTTCTTTTAAGACGGTTGAATGTGCCAATTTGATCTTTGCTCTTTCAGTAATTTGATTTGAAAGTGTCATGCAGGCGATTGGTTATAGTTCTGGGGATGTTTTCATAAAAAGAGTTGTGGCAACGGCTGGTGATTATGTGGAAGTATGTTTCTGTTGGATATGGAGGGTTAGAACTTAGAATTGTTAATTGCTCTTTCATTACATCTGATGTGAATATGTGATATAATGCTTTCTCAGGTGCGAGATGGTAAACTGTACGTGAATGACATTCCCGAAGATGAGGAGTTCATTTTGGAACCTCTTGATTATGAAATGAAACGAAGGGTACTGCATTTTTGAATTATACTCCATATAAAACATTCTTTCTGCCTATTAGCATAGTGAATTTTTATCTATCTGTTATCATGCAGCTTGTTCCTGAAGGCTATGTGTTTGTGATGGGGGACAATCGTAACAACAGCTTTGACTCGCATAACTGGTACTGTGTTCCTCATATTCTGCAAAAACATGTATTGTTGACCTTCATACTGAACCTTCTTCCTTGCTTTCAGGGGTCCACTCCCGGTTAAAAACATCGTTGGTCGATCAGTTTACCGATACTGGCCTCCCTCGAGTGTGTCGAACACCCTGGAGAGGAAAGCTCTTACCAGTTCTTGACTGGATACCCTCCTCTGCAGTCTGCACAAGTCGTTTCTTTTGAGTTTTGCCATTGATAAGAAAGCTGTGAATACTAAACCCTTTTGTGCTATAGCAGTAGCTGTTAGTTAGTCCATTCTTTAGTTTGGGAATCTTCTTGGCCAGTTAGTGATCATGGATTGAATATGTTTGTTTATCAATAAGTTGTATTGAGAATTAAATATGAAATAGTACATTAATTTTACTGCTTCTTGAGTTTGTAAATATACTCACTTTTTTTTTTCTTTTTTAAATGTGATCTTTACCTTGGAATTAGAGATTTTTTGTCAAATTAGAATTCGATATTGGAAAATAATACATGGGTTTTTACTTTTACTCTCAATTTTTATTCTTTCATAAATTTTTGATTTAGATAATTTTTTAAGATATGAAAAGACACATAATTTCATTTATAATGGTTCTTTTTATTAATTTTTTTAGTGATGAAAAAAGTTTACAACAAATATATGATGATTTGACAAATAATCATAAGTAAACTAATTTATATTGTTTATAACTGGTGGATTCAGTTTTGAAAAAAAATAATAATAACGGATGGGTTCAAGTAAGAAAAGTCAATTTACCATGGTTCTTTTTATCAATTTATCTTCTCAAAAGTGAGTAAAAAGCTTTTGTGTTACAATTAAAAGTAGAGAGTTGCATTGAACTATTTTATTTTAGAGTTAATTCTATTTTTTGTCATAGATTTATAGGTGATAGTTCACTTTTAATCATTTATATATTATAATATTTTTCTTAGTCCTAGTATTATTTTGACATAACTAATTTTGATAATCTATTAACAAAACAGTTCAAATACCTTTAAATACAAGGACATTTCAGTCCCCTAATTATGATTTTTTTTTGAAAAATAAACACAAAAAAATATAACGGTCAGCGCACTTTTTAAATACCAAAATATTTTTATATTTAACCACATTTCAAAGATTTTGTTGATGAAAGACTATGTCATAAACCAAAATTTGAACTCTCACATATAAATCTTAAACCAAAAATTGAATTAACTCTTTTATTTTATGGTGAAGTTTTTTTAGACACCACGCCGTGTCCAAAATTGTAATTTCAGTATCTATGAGATATTCAGATCTGATTCATCCCGGCGCAAAACAAGAAAAGTAGAGTCGCTGTTGTGGCCACCGCAAAGTTGGAGATTACGCTACGCATAGTCGACGGCGTCCGGCGACGATTACAGCAAGTAACGACGATGCTCCGTAGATCATTCAACCTCTTTCTCTTTCTCGTCCTACACTACCAAACTCTAACCCTAACTTCCTCCACCGATGCTTCTACACGATTTTTCAACATTTCTCACTATCTCTACCCCAAAGCCACCTCCTTTCTCTTCTCTCAACCTCCGTCACCTACTTCTCAGCCCTCCTTCTTCTTAAAGGTCTCGCCTTTCTCAGCTTTACTCGTTGTTCAATTGGTTATCAGTAACAAATCATTGATTTTGTTTTGTTGGGGATGTGCAGGATATATTGGAGGCAATAGCGAAGAGAGAGAAATGGGATTTGGAGGACATTAGGGTGTCGAAATTGGATGCTAGGAGAGGCAAGTATCGCAAATTGTGGAAGTACGAGTTTGGGGTTAGGTTGGGGAAGACTGAATTCGTGTTCAAGGTGTTCGATCAAGTGTCCCAGTGGACCAAGTTTGAATCACTGGGGAAGAGGAATTGGTCCGATTTTGAGTCTTTGATTAAAGAGATTGGCTCCAAGGCTGTTCTTGATGGATTTAAGATCGAAGGGCCTTTGGAATTGTATGCTGCTGGAGACCATCATCTCACGCTCAATTTGCCGGTATGAATATGATCTTCTTTACATACATATACAACTGAATCTCATGGTTGATTGCCACTTTAACTTCCATGTTTGCCTTTAAGGTTTCTTGTTTTAAGTAACTAACGTTTGAACTAGGAGTATTCATGTATCGAAGAAGTTAACTTGTGGTTTGCTGCATTGATACTGGCTGGCAGTGTATGCAATATGGTTATCAGTTATAGCATTAACTTTTACTGAGAAATAATATCTGAAGCACAGGAGAAGCGTTGTTAGTTTGTCATGGCATCGAAATTTATAGAATTATAGTTTTGTCTAGGCTTATGTCCCAAAGAATGTTGCTTGTTTTTTTCATTGCAACTCTTGTTTTATCTCGTTGTTCTTTTGGCAGGACTACTTCTTGGTATATCCCTTAATTTGTCTGGCTATCGTTGAATATTATGCTTAATTGTTTATACATGTTTTACTTTCTTCTTTAGTATAGTGTTTGTGTGTATAAGCACTATGCAAATTGCCCGGACTTACGGTGTTATGTTTTCAAGTTTTATGCATTGCTCCAATTGCCTATTTTAACTATTTTTGCATTGGTGTAAAGTATTTGGCGTAAATGTATAATTTTGGTCATCTAAATGCTGCTTTGGATTTTTAGAATGACATTATCTATTTTTTCTGTTTTTAGCTTGGTGACTTTTTTATGCTTTCTTTTTTGTTTATATATATAGCATATAGGTGATAGATTTGAATTCTCTTACTTTTTATAGTAGTGTTGCTTATTTCTTGACCATGTTCATCAGTTAAACACTTCAATTCCTGGTTTGAAACAAATCCTTGTAAGTGAAGGCATCACGATAGAAGTGGAAGGTGCTGAAGAAATTACGGTGTTCCATACACCTGCTCGCAGTGGGCTATTCTATGGGAATGCTTTCACTAACATGTGGAGTGAGTCTCAGTCATCTTGTTTGTCATTACTTCCCGTACGTGTTAGAGGGTCTGCATCTGTAACCGTCTACCGGACTAAAAACCCCGATGCAAGTATAAGAACTTCTTTTCTATCTCGAGGAATTGTCAAGTTGTTGCCAGAAAAGTGTTATATGGGAAACGTGTATAGAAAACAGAGTTCTGTGTTTGATTCTCTGAGCCAGAGGGTGACTTCACTGGAAAATGTTTTGAAGAGCTTTCTGGGTGGCAGAACCAACAGAAATACCGGATTGGGTCTAAAAATAAGAATCAAACCGTCATATATCTTCCGTTTCCAGATTGAATTAGAACGAAATATCCGTAGCAATGATACCTACTGGAGTACATTGGGCGAGTGGAGAACAAGGCCAGCTGCTGAACGTGTTTGGTTCGAGGTGGTGGCAGGAATTGGGTCCGGGTTTATGAAGCCATTCACGATAAGGAAAGTCCGACCATTTATTGAAGTAGATTCACTATCGTGGAGCAGTTTAATGTCAAACATTTCCTTCACAAAGTTTCCGTCTTTCCTCGTCCCTCCAGAGCCTCTAACACTGGATGTCAAATGGTGAAGAGGTTAGTCTTTCTTCTTATGATTTCCTCCTCCATAGTTTTACGGCTTTCTTCTCCTTTCCCTGTGTAATGATCTATTCACTTGTACAAATGTATTGTCTTACACTCTGTAAATTAAGAAATAGAAAGATGTACTGTATCTTTTCCTTGTTGACATTAACATGTGAAGCTTACAACTCTGCTATGCAATTTTCAGTCTTTGTATCACTCATCTTTTGCTGGATTTTCTTCAAAGAAAACAAGTGGACCGACCATGAGAAGGTTATAAGTTATACCATAATACTATAGTAGAGTTTAAGGTCTGCAAATGTTCTCAATTGATATTTATCAAAACAAAACAAAAAATCTAACAAAACATTTTATTCACCAACTTATTTTAGCCGACTTATATTTCACAACAAACATGGACTATATTTATTGGTTATTCGTGAAGAACTGAATAATTCATCATCATAAAGTTATGTAATAAAAAGTTGGTTAAAAAAAAAAAAAAACCAGCCGAGTCCATAAGGTTACTACTTATTGCTCCTTTAGGTTTGACTGCATTGGAGTACACCTTTTTCATTATTTTCATAAAATAGAACTCTCAAAATTGGTTTAGTTTGTTTTTGAACGATGATTTATTTAATTTTGACGGAAATTGTTTGGTTGTTTAATTCACATTGTAATTTTTTATTATAGAACATGTGTATGTATCTTGTGTTATGTAATTATGTACACTAAGAGTGAATTATGTACATGGTGAGTAAAACACAACATATTTTGTGTATTATGTTATGAATTTATGTCTAATATTGTGAAATTTTGCGCTTATAGAACATAAATTTCCTACCTAAATCAAATTTGAAAATAAGTAAATATATAATGTGTACATGTCTTGTGTTTGTAAGTTTTTCTGTCTTGTTTTATGAAATTTTGAATCTTAAGAATATAAATTTTGTATCTTTAATAAATTAGTAATTGAGTAGAGACATTTTAAAGTTCGTTAAAATCTAAAGATCAAAACAACATTATTTCAATCCAAATTTTCAATGTTATGTGGACCCTAACCCACCCTAACCCACAATATAAATTGCCAAAAATAGCAAGAGGACTTATAAAATTTATAGCCCATCAAATTCGGTCTCACTGCCAGCTTTGATAAATTTTATAGCCCATCAAATTCGGTCTCACTGCCAGCTTTGATAAATTTTATGGCCCATCAAATTCGGTCCTCAATCGTTATATAGTGGCCAGGGTCCACAATGCTGGTCCATTATGCAAACTACGTGTTCATAATGCAAAGAATTTATGTTCATAATACATATACACATAAACACAATATAATGAACATGAATTTTGTGTATTTATATATAAAATTCATGTTCATTATATTGTGTTTATGTGTATATGTATTATGAACATAAATTATGTACTTTATAAAATCAAATTTCGTGTATTGGACCAGGATATAATTTGTCATTCGGTCCCACCCCGCAGGCGTGCTTTGATGGTAAAGAGTTCTGAAGATTCCATTAATTATACTCTCTAATTTAGTAAGCTGCAAGCATAAATAGAATTTTTTTTTTTTTTTTTTTTTTTTTTTGTGGTGAAGGAAAAATTGTCTACATCTAAGATTTGTGAAAATGAATAAAAGTTGGTCTTAGAATTGGAGTAAAAGTCGTTATTTGCGACGGTAAAAGCTCTAAAAACTGACATAAATTGTATAGGGATTTTGAAAAAGCAGTGCACGTTTCTTCCCAGGGGCAAACATGGACGTTAACTGTAAATCGATCACGAAACAGGTGGATCTTTCATTAAAGCTAGCGAAGCACGTCTTCTCTACAGAGGCCACCGGAGATTCCAACCTAGTTTTCTCTCCTCTCTCCCTTAACGTCATCTTGAGTCTCATCGCCGCCGGCTCCAATTCCTCAAGTCGCGACCAACTCCTCGCTTTTCTCAACTCGGACTCCATCGACGATCTCAACACATTTTACTCTCAGATCGTCGGCAATATACTCGCAGACGGCGGCCTTACCGGCGGCCCAAGCTTGTCGGTGGCCAACGGTTTGTGGATCGACCGCACTCTGCCGTTAAAGCCTTCATTCAAGCATGTGGTGGAGAGTGTTTACAAGGCCGCTTCTGAATCGGTTGATTTTCAAAACAAGGTTAGATTTCTAGGGTTGATTTAGTAAGGGGAAATTTTAGAGAAATGAAAAACTTGTTTCATAGAATTATTTTTTAAAATTGAAAAATATGAATTGTTCTTCATGTTTTCAGAATTTGATTAAATTAAAGTTTGATGTTGTTGATTGTCCAGGCAAGTGAAGTGGTTGATGAAGTGAATTCGTGGACTGAGAAAGAAACTAAAGGTCTTATCAACCACATACTTAATGCCGGTGATGTTGACAATAATACCAAGCTCATTTTTGCAAGTGCACTGTATTTTAATGGAGCTTGGACTAAAAAGTTTGATGAATCGATGACGAAGGATCACGAGTTTCACCTCCTTAATGGAAGCTCTGTACAAGTCCCCTTCATGAGCAACTGTGTGAAGCAGTGTGTGAAAGCATTCAGTGGTTTCAAAGTCTTACAACTAATTTATAGAGGCTATGATTATAACGACCCTAGACGACGTTGTTTCGCCATGTACTTGTTTCTGCCGGATGCCATGGATGGACTGCCATCTTTGCTGGATAAAGCGAGCTCTGAATCTGGGTTTCTAGAGCGCCACCTCCCTACCCATATGGTTTCAATGGGCAAATTTCGGATCCCAAAGTTCCAAATATCTTTCCAGTTTGAAGCTTCAAGAGCTATGGAGGAGCTTGGGGTGGTGGCGCCGTTCAACTTCATGGGAGGCACTCTCACTGAGATGGTGGATTCACCTGAGATTTCCGATGTCTATGTTTCAAAAATCATGCAGAAATCATTTATTGAGGTTAATGAGGGAGGAACAGAAGCCGCAGCTGTTTCAGTTGCTATAGTGCCGCCGTGTGGATCATGTGGCATGTTCATGAAAGAAGATACAATAGACTTTGTGGCTGACCATCCCTTCCTGTTTGCCATTCGAGAAGAATTGAGTGGTGTCATTCTCTTCGTTGGGACTGTGCTTCATCCCCATTATGACTTAAAAAAACTGTCTTCAAAGATCACACACGCCCCGCCGCCCAGGTCTTTCGAGTCGGAGAATGAAGAGTTCTTGAAGTTATTAATTCAACATTTTGAGAACCATCCAAATCTCAAGGGCTCGCTGGCCAATAATGAAAGGAAGGGTGTTTGAACTCCGATCTATTTAAAACTCCAAGAGTTAGGGATCAATGAATTGACTACTTTTTTTCCATTCTTCTATTCAGATCAAATATTTATTATTTATTATTTATTAATAATAAATGAAGAGAATATTTTATATATTTCAGAGAAACTGACACTTTAGTCATGAGCACATAATAGATTTAATGATAATTCAATTATTTGTACTCCGTAATAATATAGATGTAGGCTTTCATTTACTATCAAAGAGGCAAATTTAATTTAGTCTGATCTTATAAACGCTAAATCAATCACTTTAGTAAGTGATACGTATATTGGTGGTTGAAATAATATTTTTTTTTTTTTTTGAAAGCATGAAATACTACTTAATTATTGTTAAAGTGAAATTTTGGTTCCTTGTCAATTCATCGAGAAGACTGAAAATTGCCCCTTTTTTCCCTAAATTTAATCTTGGTTTAGTACTTGGTCATTGCCCAGTCTATAGTCTTTTACAAAACTGCGTGATTAATGACACGAAGTATGCATCTGTATGTATTATAGCAGGCCTAATGCCACGGGATAGTATCTAATAAAATATATTTATTTATTTCTAATAAAATTAAAATAAATAATTTAAAGATTATTTTATTATTTTTAATGATGAAAGATAAGAATATATAGAGTACGTAACATTTGTGTGAGATCGTGTCACAGGTCTTAATTCGTAAGATGAATCGAATCTTTAATTATTGGGTCAAATTTTTTACCTTATTAATAAAAAATTCGAACCATATTACAAATCTTTCGCACAAATTTTTGCCTCAACGTCAAATATATAGCAAATGACCTTAGTTTTGTAAGTCTTGAATAGAGGTCAAATGAGGTAGACACGATCCAACCCAAATCCGAATTTTGTAATCACTACTCGTGTACGGCAAATTATGTTGTGTACACGGGTCCACCTTGCAATGTGGATCTAGGTTCAAAACGCGCGTTTGGAATAACGGTGTCGTTAGTGACACCGTTTCCTCAGTCAATAATTTTTTATTTTTTTGTAAATATAGAGTTCAAAAAGTATGAATATAGAGTTTAAAATTTGTGAATATAAATTCAAAAATTATGTTATACGGTTGAATGTAGAGTTCTGTAATTGTGAATAGAGAGTTTTTTAATTGTGAATATAGAGTTCTGCAATTGTTAATATTGAGTTCTGTAATTTTTTATATTGAGGTCTAAAATTGTGAATATTCAGTTCTAAAATTGTGAATATATAATTCAAAAATTATGAATATAGAGTTCAAAAATTATGAATATAGAGGAACGAATTATGAAAACAAACGACAAGAAAAAAAGTAATTTAAAAAATAAATAAAAATTCAGACGGTGCCATTTTGAATAATCAACATAGTTGGTTTGGTGGTTCATTACGGATGAGGCTAGGATTTCATTCCAGGTTGTAGATCATGCATAATCAAACAACAATATTAAAAATCATTTCATTCCACCCTACTACATACCGAATATGCATGCAAAATACTTTCACCAATGGGTTAAGTTAGAGATATTGCATGTACGTACATTTAATTCTTTTTTGCGTAAAATTGTCAAACACGTATCTATAAATACATTTTTTTTACGCTTTTCCTAATGTTGCCGCTAGTTCGTAAAGCAGATATGGAAACTTTGTATCTATTCGCACTTCCTCAATTATTAGTTTGCATTGGATGGTATATTAGTATACATTTTTTTTTTTTTTTTATCATTAAAGTTACGAAGGAAATTAAGGAGTTATCTCCAACCTCCCAACTTCGACATGTTCATTAAGTAAGGAAACGATTTTCTTTCAAAAGGCTGAACCCTAATCGTTATACACTGCACCACGGTGCGCGTAGCATTGTGCACCCCGCGCCTCCCAAAACGACGTCGTTTTGATAAGTTATGTAGGGAGTTGATGCGATTATGTGTATTTGTTTATAAATTATGTGTATTTGTTTATACAATTATGTGTATTTGTTTATACAATTATGTATATTTTTTATACAATCATGTACATTTTTTATACAATCATGTACATCCGAAATAGGAAATTTATGTGTATTATGTTAAGAGTTTATGTTTATTATGTTAAAAGTTTATGTATAGTATGTATTATGTTAGATTATATGTATAATCTTTTTTTAAAAAATATGTGTATTTTGTTATGCAATTATGTACATTCATGTATACAATTACGTGTATTCTAGTATAAAATTATGTACATTTTTTAACATGAGATTTTGTTTTTTTACAGAAAATTAACCACAAACACAGAGTAGCGAAATTTCAAAAAAAAAATAAATCTAAAACAACGTCGTTTTGCATCAGGGCGCACAATGCAAATAAAACGCATAGTGCCCTTCATAATTTCCTTCACTTCTTCCAAACCAACCATTATGTACGTGTTCAATGGCTCCACCGCCTCCACATTATTCCTATCATCATTCATTCTCACTTGTTACTTGATGCCTCTTGTGGAATATACGAATCATCATGATCCTCTACAAGATCTTCTTACTCGTCCTCGTCTACGTGCTCTCTTCTTTGCAAGATGTGGCATGCATTTTTGTGATATATTCCAACACATCTCTGATAGACATATTTTACACTCTTGCATCTTTATAATATTTCTACATTCATGTTGGATATAAGAAAATTATAAAACATATCAAAACATTATAAAAATATGAACATAATCAACTTGATAAAATAATTTGAATAAAAGATCCATTATAAATTACACATCTCATCTCATTATTAATATATAAATGAAGATTAATTATATTATTGTGTTGAAGCAATATGCACTATTAATAATAGTGAAAATGTGAAATAATGAGAAAAGGTAGTGGTAATACGAAAAAGAAATGTTGAAAGCATATAGGAAGATATAGGGGATTCAAACCCTAGCCTACATACAAGCCAACTACACACTCAGCCAACTAGGCTAAGCCACATCCTATTAACATCTTTCTATTTTCTAATACTTATTCTAAAACTTGTACTATATATACACATATACATACAAGGGTTATATAAGGGGTGGGAGTGGGATGAGTGGGGCAGCTGACCCCACTGTAGGTCCGCCCCTGATAGCTAGTGTAGTGTAGCAGTAAAAATAAGTATAATAAGTGTGGGAACATGCCATTCTTAGCTTTGAGTCTTGAGATACAAAATCTTGGTACACTACTCTAATCATCCCAATTTTATACTATGTCTTATAACCCCACCCAATATTGATTGAAATCCATTCTCTCTTTCAATTTAATCCCATCCTATCAGCGCAGCCTATCATCCATATCATTTCTTAAAATGAAAAAATTCAAAAATAAAAATGAATTCAGTTTATAATCAATCCAAAACAAAATATTGAACTAATGTATGTTATACACTATGATGCCAAATTTATTATAATAATTTTATATGAGTGATCTCACGTACATCATGTTTTTAAAAATTTTTAATAATTATAATATTTATCATGTATATTTTTACTAAAACTCTCAACCATGTGTTTTGAAAAAATAATAATAATTTTGTGGACCACAACATACTCACTAGTGGATATAAGTATAATTGCATCTTATTCTAAACTCTCACTCTCTCACATATCTTAGCTACCAAACATACAAAATACTTTTATCAAAACTTATATCATTATCAAGTATTTAATTTTCATTCCTATTTGCAAACCAAATACACCATATAAGTGTAATTGAGTACTACACTACTTTTATACTTAACCTAGTAAAAATAACACTGATTGGTTCACTAAGACAAATTTTTCTACGAGAACTTAATCCTCAAATTAAAAAAAAAAAAAAAAAAAAAAAAAAAACAAAAACAAAAACAAAAACAAAAACAAAAACAAAAAAACACATTTTATCTTGTTTGAAAATTGAGAAATTGAATTTATTACCTTTTAAAAATTCACAATTTATGATGATGATAATATGTAGGTGTTACGAATTATGGATTGGTTACAGTAATAATGCATGCCTAGCTCTGGAATTAGTATATATATATTCCCAAACTATCTAGCTATTATGTATTGTGTTGTGTTGTTTTTACATTTTAGTATAATGACATTTTACAACTTTTTGATGTCAAAGTTTGAGGTTATCAATGTCCAACATTTAGCCATAAAAAGTCAATCGCCACTTTGTAGTCATGACTTTCTAAATATATGTAATTGTGACTTTTATTTATTTATTATTAATTTCTATTTCATAATTAAACTCTTCGAGATCGAATGCAAAGACAAGTTTTTGAAAGAAAAAAAAATACATAATTTAATGTCTCTTTCTATTAGCAATTGATTTTGTCTCATTAATTTAATGTAATTTTGTTGCAAATTACTTATTTGGCCGGGACCAAGAGCACCACTTTGGTATCATTTCAATTTTGAAAGATCAAAGATGGGATAGTTATTAGTTAAAATGCTGAATGGGAAAAGATAAAAAAGAGAAATAATGACAAAAATACGTGGCTGCTTAGGATAGGAGTGGCTATTTAAAAAGAATGGGAGCAAACAAATGAGCATAAAAGGACAAATTAAACTTAAGTAACTAAAAATGGGCTACTGCTGCTCCACAGCTCAGGACAAAACTGAGGGTGTGTTTGGTTCGCACATAGGAATCGGAATCAGAATGGGTATCAAATACTTGGTAATGGTAATGAGTTTTGGTGAAAATATTTAACATGTTTGGTCGTAGGGTGGAATGGGAATGGTTACTAATAGTAGTGCTTGAGAATGAATAAGTGAATGAAACCCTTATTGTATTTGGGTATGAGTTTTTCAATTGATGGGGTATTCGAAACCCATAGTAGTGTTCTAAAATTCTATCAACCAAACAACAACAATCACTTTCATACTCATTCCTATGTGCAAAACCCACCATCCAAACACACCTGAGATTTCTGTCCATTCCGCGGCAGCCGGGCCCCACATTCCTCATGCACCCTGCAATCCTTCGCTTATTTGCATATTACAAATGAATCCTTAATTTGACTGCTACTTCATAACATCCCATGCGTCATAATATTAATTACTTATTATGTTAAGTGTTTTTTTTTTAATATATATATAAAAGTTTGACATAAATCTTATTATATTAGTAAACAATATAATATTACACAAAGTAAATTATTCAACTTTTAAACTTTTATATGACTTTCAAACATTATATATTTAAGGTTGCTCTATACCCAAATCAAAAAATTCAACTCTTAATATAACCTTTGGTTAATGAGTTTAAATTATTGGTTTAGTCTAAGCTTAAGTAGTTGATCAATCATGCTTCACCTTTGAGAAAAGAGGGTGTGTGCGTGATATTAACAACTAGTGTTTTATGAATGAGAAATGCTATTAGAAATAATTTTGATTAGTGAAAAAGTTGTATTTTTAATTTTAGAGTTAAGCTTAGAGAGCAATTAAATGGAGGGAACACACTGCAACTATGCCAGAGAACTTGTACGATTTGCAAGACATACTCTTCATTCTTCAACCGTACCCCTGCAGTGTCTCTTCTCATTAATCAAAATGGACTTTAACCCGAGTGAAAATGATAAACAGATTCATATAAACTCTCCTTCACCCTCACACTTCACAGTCTCACACCTCACACCATGAGCACTATTGTTCAAGCTCTAGCCAACCCCCCAGCTCCACTTCAACTTCCAGCTTAACATGTATATCGACTGAAAACTCGGATGAAAGCCTTGCAATTTGTATGTACACTTGCATCTTTAATCCTTAGCGTTGTCCAGGTGTTTGGTACGTTGTCTAAGCACACAACCAAACTACTTATGATATGGAATTTGTTCATAGCGGGTATAATACCTGTATTGACAGTACTCATCAAGTTTGCAGAAGGTGGACAAAGACAAAGAGGAAGACTTCCTGGGTGGGCAAGAGCTTTAGGTTACTCTCTTGTGGACCAGTTAGCGTTGATAACTATGATCTTTGACATTGTATCCTACTTTCTCACAGGTGAAGCCAAATCCAGCTTCAACCTACCAAGTTTTTGTATTGGAATCACTATTGGAAAATGCAGTAATTATACTTGGAAGATGATAAAGTGGTATCAAGAGTGATAAAATGATATTTAAAGTGGTATCAGAGCGATAAAAAGATATATAAAGTGGTATCAGAGCGATAAAATATATTTTGAAAAATTAGCATTTTTCAATTTTATTTTACTTGAGTCAATGTTTAGTCTGTACGTGCAAGATATATTCATACTCATACAGGAAGATTAATATCATAGCCAAAATTATATGAATCTTCAACTAAGTTATAATTTTGGCCATGATATGAATCTTCCTGTATGAGTATGAATATATTTTGCACGTACGAACTAAACATTGACTCAAGTAAAATAAAACTGGGAAATGCTAATTTTTGAAAATATATTCTATCGCTCTGATACCACTTTATATATCTTTTTCGCTCTGATACCACTTTATATATCATTTTATCGCTCTAATACCACTTTATATATCATTTTATCGCTCTGATACTACTTTATATATCACTTTATCGCTCTGGTACCACTTTATATATCTTTTTATCGCTCTGATACCACTTTATATATCATTTTATCGCTCTGATACCACTTTATATATCATTTTATCGCTCTGATACCACTTTATATATTATTTTATCGCTCTGGTACCACTTTATATCAGAGTCTAATGCAGCTCCTCCCTCCATCATTTCCCTCACACCTCACAGCACTTGTTCAAGTTCCACCCAACCAGGAGGACAATATTGTTCAAGCTCCAGCTAACCACTATGCTAATGCTCGAATGAAAATTGCATTGAAAGGCTTTCAAGTGCTATTCTCACTAGGATGCTTAACCTTTAGCATTCTACAGGTTTTTGGTAACCTCTCTGAAACGGCAAACCAACAACTTATGGTAATGAATTTGTTGTTTGCGGGGTTCATACCTATGCTTACCTTAGGTATAAACCTATGTAGAGAGGGTGGAGGAGGTGAAGAAAGACAAACAAGACTAGCTCGGTGGTCAAGATATTTTGGTGGCACTTTCGTCGAACAACTGGGCTGGATCACTATCATCTTGGACCTTCTGTCTTCCCTACTTTCAAAGGGCAAATCCAGCTTCAACCTGCCCAGTTTTTGCTTAGGTATTACTTTCAAGTTTGATGGGCAGAGTACTCAACTTTCTGCTAGTGTTATTGGAGCTTGCCCAAGTTATCCCAGATCTGGACGGTGGAGACAGGAGATTGGAACTCGACGATCACCAGGCCTCCCGAGATCAGGACGACGGAGATAGAAGACTGGAACTCGACGATCAGACCCCCGAGATCAGGTCGCCGTACACCGGAGACTGGAACACGAGGATCATGCCCGAGACCCAGACCAGGTACCCATTGATCTGGAGGCCCAATCCCAGCCGACGACCCCTCAACCTGTTATGACAGGTCGGAATGTACGGGTGCCACCTGTTTCCGCTTTAATGTATTTTCGAACATTAAGTGCTTGATGGGTGTTTTTTTAATAGTGGGCTAGGATGAAGAATGTGCATAGACTTTTGTAGCAGCCTGTTGTTCTTGAGCAGTGTGTTGTTCTTGCTCTGTTTTTTGTTATTGTTCTTGACACGCTGCTCTGTTTTTTCTGTTACTAAGATATTGTTCCATGGTTTGGTTTTTGCTATGCTAGCATTGTCTTGTTCTTGCTCTGTTTTTTGTTTGTTCTTGTTGACACATACTGCTGCTCTGTTTTTTTTTTTTTTTTTTTTTTTTTTTTTTTTTTTTTTTTTTGGGTTTCACTGTTTCTAAAAAAAAAAAAAAAAATGTACTGGGTAGTTATATTTTCTTGCTTTATCTGTGTGTTTTAAGGTAATGATATTGTAATGAACCATGTTTCCAATGATATGATACCTTATGACCTTATAAACTATGATTCAATTCAAGTTGGCAAATATTTGTTGTCATTAGATATTTTACGAAACATAATAGCATTAGATAATTCACGTACTTTTTTTAGCCAATAAAATGTATTAATAAATCAATAAAACAGTATAAAAACATGACTCGTCCTAATCCGTCCATTGTAGTAAATGGACCAAGTCGAGTTGATTCACTCGAATTGTGCATAAATTCCGGGCTCACAGATCTATTTGACACCTCTAGTCAATGGTGAAACAATACTGTTTGTTTTCTTCTCCCTTTTTAGTTAAACATGTAAATGGTGAAACAACAAAAAAGATTAAGTAATTGCATGATAATGAGACACCTTTAATTTAATACATTTCACGCAATTTTGTTAGTAATGGCTACCTTGGTCAACTTTATATTTTTTTATTATTCTTTTTTAGGTGAATGTGCAGTGGATTTTTATTCTCAAAGACAACATGTACAACTAACACTAGGACATACCTTAAAAAATTTGTAACCCAATAGAAATTACGACCATAAGACACTAGAATATTAGAGACACTAATTCGGTCTCCCTAGTAACAATTAACCCTCCCCAATTGTGCCCAGCATTTTATGACCCAAATTGGTTACCAAACCCAATAAACAGACACAGTCCAAACCAACCCCATACCTTAAAAATTAGAACAGATTTATGCGCCTAAAACATGATACTGCCGCATTCTTCAATCAAATTCCTATACCCGGTGAAGTTTTCTTCCTCAAATTTAAATTTCTCTTTGTCACCGGCAAGACCACCCTTGCATGAGACCATTTACGCACAACAAACCATAAATTCATGCTGCCCATGCAATCTTTAATTCCTTGACTTTGACCACATTTGCTACTTCCAGCGAGACCAAAAATCAAATCCTAACAAATAACCAAACATGCCATACAATCTTCAGTGGACCACAAACAATATTATCTTTAATACATTTTCAAAACAGACCATGCAAACGCTAAATCCCAAACTAGTAGAACAATTTTGGTGTCATTCACCTGCGTTGCATTTCGGGTGCGTGGCAAGGTAACAATTTTGGTAACTTTATATTATATATGCATTCATTCTTGTATTTTGGCCTGCCTTAGTAAGACCAAAGAAAAAGAATCCAACTTCCTATATGCATACTCATCAGGCACATTACTTTCTACGATTGAGAACTACTGCATAAGAGCACACAATCTATTCCCAAGCATACTTGAATGACAGTAAATTCTAGAGTAGATTTTGTGCACTCACCAATTTTCACCCAAGGCACGATTTTCACATGAAGACAACCCTACTTCCCAACTTAATAGGGTAACTCAAGTGGCAAATGAGGAGGAGAATTCTGGGATAACCCGAATTGAATTTCCACAAGGGACGATTCAAACCAAGATTACATCCTTAGCTAGCTTATACAGACCAAGATTATAGCCAAACTCCATAAGATGTTAAATTAAAGCTTTCTACTATACATCCTTAGCTAGCTTATACATACCAAGATTATAGCCAAACTCCATCTACTATACATCCTTAACCTGCATTGCACTCTCGGCTAACATTTCAGAATATAAACCTCAGAATGTATTTACTCAGATAGCCAGTCAAGAGTGAAGCATTCCTCGGCAACCTGAACACATAAACCTAGTACAGCCTCCTCAACGTCCTTCCAATGGAAAGAGACCTCTTCGTCACAAATTACCCTGCGTAGAGATTCCAAGTACTTCACAGACCCGGGCAAGCTCTTAATCACCGGGCATTCCCTCATGTCAATCTTCTCCAGTCTTCTACACCCATCGATCGTCGCAGGGAGTGTTTTCAAGCTAACACATTGAGAGATATCGAGGTATTTCAGGGATACCAAGTTGCCAATGCTAGGAGGAAGGCTTTTAACATTTGGGCAGGCGTATATCCTTAGAATTTGCAGAAAACTCAGTTCTCCTAGCTCGGGTGTCAGTTCGTGGAGACTGTCACAGTTAGTGACACTAAAGGTCTTCAGCGAACGCATCTTGCATATGCCTGTCGGGAGGTCATTGAAGTTTATGCAGTGATCCATTGTGAGCTCTGAAAGACGAGGGAACAGGCGGGGGAGGTCTACAACCGATTGATCGAGGCTGTTGTTGATACTGCAAAGGATTAAAGAAATCTTTCGCAGGTATATGAGGGGCCTGGTAGAATTGGACAAATGAGGGACAGAGATTTTCTCAAACCATAGGCTTCTCAAGTATGTCAAATCATTGAAAACGGAGAGGTTATGGAGGACTGCATTGGAGGTGCTATAGTTTATTAATATCAGCGCCCTGAGCTTGGGCATGCTGCAAATAAAAGGAGGCAAGAAGTATTCGGACGAGGAAAAGTTTAGGATTAGCACTTCGGCTTTTGGACAATCCATTTGGAACCAATCCATCTCCTTCATTTCATCTACAAAGAGATGCAAAGGCGTTAGTGGCATCCTAGGAAACATTTCTAATGTTTTTACTAGTGAAGATTGCATATGGGAATACCTGTATGAACCGAGATAACCCGGGCATTGAAGGGTTGATCAGCCTTTCTCTCCCATTCTTTCGGGAGCTCTCGCTCCCTCTTTGGCATGAGCAACCGCCTTCTCTGATTTATATCCTCGAGACCGCTCATGTGAATTGCTAAATCCCTCAAAACATCGTGCTGAGATACAGATATGTCATAGTAACTGCTGTACAAGTCTCCAACTCTGTCAAGCAAACACACTAACGCCCTTAGAATTTGTTCGAATGGAACTAAAGACAAAAGGCAGTTTAAAAGAGAAAATTAGATACCTTGCATCTTTCGTCAAGTTTAGGAGATTCTTGTTAGAAAGTTCAACTACAATATGAAAGGCCTCTTCCTCGGGGATATCGTGTAGTTCCACCCACATGTTAATGAGAACATCAAGAGGGATCTTTTTGTCTTCTGGAAATGCGCCCAAGTCGAGGAAACACTCCCTGACTTTCTCGGGCAAGTAATCAATACTCCATTTCATCCGCTCTAGCAATTGTACCTCATGAGACTCGCCAACAGGGAGACTCCTCGACAATCTGTTTTGAGCACTTTTCCAGAACATTTCAGGCTGGCCCTTAAGAGATGATCCAACAACTTTTAAAGCCAGAGGAAGCCCTTCACATTCATCAATTACCTATCGCAATAACTTCCCAGTTAGTGTCAAATACCGTACCAAAAAAAAAACAATGCAAAGAAAGTCGGATCTTGGAACTTCCAAAAACATCTTTAGTTACCTCTTTCACCAACTTCTCATCGAAACCAAGAGGAATGCAATTGCGCCCAAACGCAAAATGGCAGAAAAGAGACATAGCTTCATCTTCTCTCAACAGCTCCAACTCGTGAGTAGAGTCAATAACCGATGGAGGGAACTTGAATCGCGAAACCACAAGGATCTTGCAGCCGGGAACTTTCAAATCTATCAACGGCTTGAGATCTGCAAGCTTCCATACATCGTCTAGAATCAGAAGCCTCGGCTGAGCAGGCATCCTGTTCCAATCGAATTGCGGGTTCCACCCAGGAAACATATTGGCAGAAGATTGAAGAGTACACCCTGATATCATTGACCAAACCTGTAACCTCAAATGCTCCACATTTGGAGATTGAGACACAGTAAGAAAGTGAACCCTTCCCTTGAAAAAACCTGGGAATTCAGTTCAAAATACACATAGACATCAATAATCCAGATATATCAGTGCTCAATTGTATGTAAAGTCTTACATCTATGCATAAAGTTTCAATCTTTGTCCTAACCATAAATAATAGACAACAATTTTTTCATCAATATCTGAAGAATCTTACGATTGCTAGACAAAAACATTGAAAAGTAGTAATCATATAATTAGCAAGAAAACAAATTATTCTTCTGGTTTCAAGATACTTACTTTGAATTTCATCATCTTTGCTAATCTCTCTGGCTAAAGTGGTTTTCCCACTGCCTCCAATCCCACAAAGTTCAAAAACGCCACTGTTTTCTTCATCCTTCATTAACATATCTTTCACTTTCCTCTTCCCCAATTCAAACCCGGCACCCAGATTTACAAAACTGTCCTCGCACCACCTCTGCTCCTCCGCCACCCTCTTCACGGCCTCCCCCAACCACCCGCCGCCGCCGCCGCCCTCGTCCACGCCGATTTTCATGGCGCCAAGCTGCTGCTCGATCCGCTTGAACGAATTGTCCAGCCGATCGAACCTCTGCTCCGTGTCGACCCTCACGTGATGGACGTCGGCCATCACGTGCGCCGGCATGATCCCCTGCACGAACCTGGAGACCCTCTTCTCCAGCTTCTCCATTTTTCGGGCGAACTGGAGATTCTTGTACATGTTCCAGCGCCCACACTTGAGGACCTTGTCGGCGAGCTCGACGCCGGCGGAGAGAGTCCTGGAGAACTCGTCGAGCTGGCGCTGGCGCTCCTGCGGCAGCTCGACGCCGGTGGCCTTGATTTCCCTGATAATTGGGTCGACCGCACTGATGTCTTCAATTAGCTGCAAAGCGCTGTTGCGGGAGAGGGCGCACTTCTTGCAGATAGCGTAGAGATTTTTGAGGAGCTCGGTAGCGATTTCTCCGGCGAAAAGATCCGTCACCGCCATTGTTGTTTGTAATGGTGGTGCCTAAGCTTTTCTCAGCTCCGTGGTGAGAACTTCGCGGAAGTGGTGGAAGTGGTGGACTTGCTATTGACCAACAAGCTTTACGTCAGTTACTTCAAATTTTGTGCGTGTGCGGGCCCACTCCGAATTTGTATAGATTCTCTAATTTTATAAATCACTATAAATGACTTTTTTTTGCTTAATTTTAATCCGACTCAAAGGACTAGTGGACTGCTACTCTATTTATTTATCATACAGCAAATCCGGTTATTTGATAATCATAATATACAAGTTTAACGGTAAGTGATAATAATTTATTAATATTATTAATTTCAATCAATCAGTTATAAGTTATAAGTAATTTAGATTGAATTATTTTATTGTAATTTTTGTTAGTTTGAGTCACAATGTATGTTTTAGTAATTACAATTACTTTGTATATATAATTTATAAAATATTACATATAATCAAAATTTATAGAGTTGAGCAGTTTCCCCATCAATGAACAAAAGAAACATATTAAAGTGTGCAATTTCAAGTTTTCTAGAAGTAAAAAAAATAATTAAAAAAAAATTGATTTCATCATGTAATAATGTACTTGTGGTGGCCCATTGTCCAGACGACCTTAAAGTCGTCGTTCCAACTTCCAAGAAATTCCACATACTTTAGCTAATAACACATCCCCATTTCCCTCTTTCAAAAGAACACAATGATCAGAGTTTTACTACATGAACTCTTTAATCTTATTCTCTAAATTTTATTGATGTGAAAAATTTTGATAAGTTATTTTTTTTTATATGAGTCCCAATACAAGTGTCAATATCAAAATTTTGTGTATAAAGTACAAGTTGAGAGTACAATAGGATTACATGTAACATTTTTCCAATGGATAATGGTGGATGATCCCAAAAACTACAAAATGCACGCACAAATATACACAAAATCTTTTATTCAATTTTATATATCGCAAAATCCTCATCCTCATGGTGTAATAAAAAAGTGTAGCATAATCTAATATTAAAAATGGAAAATGGAAAAGTTAGGTGGGGAGAAAAGAAAGTAGTGTAGGAGGAAAAAAAATTCAATATATTAAAATTACAAATAATAAAGTTACAAGAAATCTATAGTCAGTCTAAACTATTTGAGTTGCCTGTCAACAAAAGGACGGCTATAAGGAGAACAAACATTTAACATACAATTCACATTGCAAAATATTCAAAGTGATCACGATCTAATTTACACAAATGTTGATTGGCATGATCTTTATTTCATAACAGGTTATATTACATGTATTATCTTTTTAATCCATACTCTTTAATGTATTAATTAATCATTAGTTCCACTGTTTAATCTTTTTTTTTTTAAATAAAAATAAAAATCCAGCCAATACAAAGTTATATACTTTCAAAAATATTTTCATTGAGGAACAACCCTATTTAAGTGATCGCATAGTTAATTTAATAATCATAAAGTTTCAAGTTCAATTCTCGTAAAAATTGTCTATTAATTTGAGTCAACCAGCTACGAACAATTATCATTGTGTATTTTCAAATAAGGGCTGTAATTTTTATTTTTTTTTATATCAAAAATGATTTTCATTGGATGATACAGTGGATGGAGGCTACAAATTGGACACGGAAAAGGAGACAAAGAAGTATCCACACCGTTTCCCACGGCAGACACAATAGGTAGGGGGTTTGGAGGCATTCGAGCATCATTGTCCTTAATGGAAAAATTAGCGGTGGCCTATATAATGATGTATCGTCACCAATCTTTTTTTTCTATATTATTTGGCCATGGCATCGTTGACCGTCGCTTTCACGACTAGTTAAGTCGTTCACTCCACCTTTAAGCAAAAGCAAAACCAATATCGATTGCCCATGGTTTTCAGGATGCTAAATTCGTGGTCTCAAACATATTTCATAAATAAAAATCTCTCTTATAAGAAATCACACCCCATATTTTTCACATTTAGAGAAAGCATATTCATCCATTAGAATATATGCCTATGATAGTGCATAGTTCACTATTACAATATATATTTTTTGGATTACGATAGAAACCCGCAACCACTACAATATATTGATCTTTTTTTTAGTACTACTGACTCTGTTACAGAGCAGTATCTTTCAAATGTATTTTCTCAACTTATTGAAGCACAAAGAGTTAATACCGCCCTCACTGGAGCTTGAACCCATCATTTCAGGCCACTTGACCATCACAAGGTCATTGGCCTGATATAATTGATCTATCCAAGAATAAAGGAAAAATAATACCTTAATAATCTGCAGTCTGCACATTATGAATTCATAGAGGAAGCACTTTTCCCATATGTCATTCAGGCTCCAAGCTGCAAGACCTGCTGGACTCAAATACATCAGTTAATCATTCCTTCTTCTCAATCCTTGATTGAGTAAAGTGCTGGCAATCTTAAAATATCGAGTGTGAAGAGCTGTAATGGGCAGCAATGGATTTGTTTTTCTTTATAATGAACACTGCATGCATGCATGGCAGTTCAAAAAGTGATTCGAGTGGTTAAAACAGAACAGCCCCTTCAGGCTGGGGCTTCGGCTGCCAGATACTTTTGGGTCTTTAAGTAGGTACCTATTACCTAATCATATCCATCGTCATATTTCAATGGAGACAATTGTGAATTTCCTGTATCTTTAACCACGGGTCTAGAATCCAGCAACTCAAGTTGTCTTCTAATCCACGGTGGATCGTGCTGTTTGAGCCACAGTGCTTCACCAGAGTACTTGTGCTTAAAATCTGGACCCTTATGATTCACCTTGTTCTTCCTATTGTCCCACCATTCAGATGGGTTGCTGAAGAACACTTGCCACAAATGAAGCCGGCTATTGGACTTCTCCAGCCTATCTTCATCTGAAAGTGAAAATTGATGGACATGAGAATGGAGAATATATATACACATACAATGTGTGTATATGCATGGTTCCAGATTACTAGGGCAATTGAATTATTATATGTTAAATAGTCAAATGGGCAATGTTCGCTTGCATACTAACATATAATTTCTAAAAGTATGTACTGCTTATGATCATAATCAGCTCGGGAAAGGAGCACTTTTGCACCAGTTAGCATAACAGTGAATCCAACTAACATGGGTTATGTCCTCTAAAAGCATATCTGATACAACGCTAAAACAGGACAAAAGGACACAACGTAGTATTACCCAAAACACTCCATTACAAGTTGCCACTTCAAGCCTAAGGAAACCATCTATGATAGAGTGTATTCTTTGCAATTTATGACATTAGGATTGGCCTGGCATTAAAAGCTATCAAAGCTTACTTCTCCTCCCTCCAAACAACAAAATTCAAGTGGATAAGAATTTTAATTTTTATGGCCTATGCTCTATTTTATTCAAAGTATAATAAGCCCAAATGTCAAATAAATGATAGTAAGCTGAGGAAAGAATAAGCTCAACTAGTTAAGCCCAGACAAAATAATGAAAACAAAACCACAGGGCTATAATGCTATATAATCCCATAAGTCATCACCCATACATAAAATTTCAAAATCTGAACTCTCAGCAAACCAGACTTCTATGAGATATAACTATGCAACATTTAAGGCATATAAATAACACACACACACACACATTTGCCTTAATCCCACAAATAGTTATATATAACTGCCAGTAAAGGCCCTCCATTCATGCCAAGAGCAGTGAAAGAGTAAAGAAAAGTTTAAGAAGAAAGGACTAGTAAGTTATGTCAATATCATAAATTGTAAGTGATACAACTCACCCCATGATTCTATTTTCTTGCTTTCCTGGCAGGTTGAAGCCTTATCATGTCTAGCAACGAAATTTATTTCCTTCACAATTAGCTACAAAGAGGAAATTGGGTAGATGAACAGATGACAAGATTATAAATATAGCAAAACACATATGCACTTCTGAATGGATTGTACTTTTTGATTGTTATTCACCAGTTAGGCCTTGATTTTCTTTCTACTTGAAAGGTACATGTCAATTTTATTTTAAAATAAGCTTGTCAATTATCCATCTAAACCAGTAATTATAATCAGTGGCCTACTAAAGCTGGATACCAATCCTTGGACATGGATTCTTCACAAAAAAATATTTCCAAGCATCGACAATTTTCTTATATTTTTTCTTCCTATTTCTGGGTTAAACGACTGCATAAATGAAGGAGCTAGACAGAAAATGTCACATCTAAATTATTATAAACAGTATGTTTGATTCCGTTTATTTGTTGCCAAGAGCACAATAAAACAAGAGAAATTGTCACCAATTTGATTAAACAATTATAAGATTAAGTCTTAAGCTTATATTGGTAAAGAGGAAATGATTCAAACCTCATGAAACACCATTGGATTTCCTTCCTGACCAGCCTTTACGAGCGACTTTAAGTAACCCCAAACATAAATCAAATCATTCCATTTCAGATGCACCATTGAAAGTTCAGCTATGTCACCCCACATTTTCAGCTTAATCCTATGTACCAGTCAGAAACATCATAAGTAAATTTAACGGTTTCCACCATTTCAAATAGAAATAGAATTTCATATTTTGAATTTTCAAAGCCGAATTCTCTACATGTCAAAATAACAGTGTTCAATTTTGATTCACTGATCAGTTTCAACTTTTGACAATCGTGAGAAATGAAAATTATCAAATTTCCAATCATAATTACTTGTGATTGATTATTACAATTCCAAAATGTAAAACACAGAGTAATATTTGGCTTCAAAACGTTAAGCTTAAAATTCAATTTATAGCCACCGGTAGTTAAACCTACAAGGGGAGGATAAAAGGCAGAAGAAATAGTTCGATTCTTACTTGAAAGGTCTGCTCACGGGGGTCGTTGAGACACTTAGCCACGTTTGGACACCCAGCGAACCGTCGGCGGTGTTTAATCTCCTGAAAGGGCAGTCGACCGTTCCGATTAAGCTGACAGAGTTGTGGATATAGGGTTTGATTTTGACGGTGGATGGCTGCTGGAACTTGAGGGTGTGCTTGTACACAGCGCTTTCTCTGCTGTCGGCGTCGTCGGAGTAGAACTGCCAGGCACGTTGGGTTGCGGCGGACGATGAAGAGAAGAAGCGGAGTTTGGAAAACGGAGAAGCGTTAGAAACGGCAGTCCTGAACAAGGCGGGGAAGCGGGTCGCCTCCATGGGAGACTTCGATCGCCGGAGGTTTTTTGGGCCGTTGGCGGGTTATTATTTTATAATTTAAAAAAATGTTTAGTTACATCAAAAAATGTAGGAACAAGGTCACCACTAAACTGCACACCAAAATGCAATTAGATCATTCAACTCAAAAAGAATACAATTAAAACATTGAACAACATAAAAATATACAATTTAATTCAAAATGACTTATTTACCTAGAGTAACAACTTACCAATTTTAAAATTAATTTTTTAAAATAATTTTTAATAAATAATTAATTAAAATATTAAAAAAAAAATGACTGCTGGAGACGAATCGTCTCCTGCCGGCTTTGTCTCCGTGGCCGTAGACGAACCTCCGTCTCTAGCCATGGAGACAAGGACATTCGTCATATTTCAAAACTGACCATTGTTTGGTTTTTGGACTATATCTTGGCCTATGAATGTCCAAACGAAGTGATTCTTGCGCCAATAGAAAGAAGGCTCGAAGGGCTACAACTTTCATGAAGATCATAGTTCCAAGTTCTGATGTGTTGAAGGCCAAAAGACACGGCCAAATACACGGCCGTGTCTATGGTCGTGTATTTTCTGTGCAATTCCAGTGTTCACTACTGTTTTTGGACACGGCCAGGGACATGGCCGTGTCACCTGCGCTCTGTTTTATATATGCACGAATTTTGGTCATTTCTACTGGGTTTTGAGCTATGCTTGAGCCCTAGCTTCCCTCTTTCACTTCCTTTCATATTGTAGTGTTAGATTAGGTTTAGATTTAGGTTTCTTAACATATTTCAAGCTTGTAATCAAGGATTCAACACTTGGATTCCAACATTTCAAGATTTACCATCCATTTCTTAGTGAAGTTTTCTTCTCCCTTTAATCTCTTTATCTTGCAATGTTTATGCTTTACATTTATGTTTTTGTGTTCTTTATGCTATTGAATCATGAGTAGTTAGTTTATAGACTTGAGTTAGGGTTGTATTTCATATCTTGATGCTTAGTTTGTGATTATTGTAAAAAAGGGGAAGAACACTACCTAGGGTTCATGTATTTATGAAGGTGTTGTGTTTATATCTTGTTAATGTTTGATGTACACATTCATTAGCTTGTTTTTGGAGAATTCCTTGCCTCAACGAGAGTTGGGTGATGAATCCAAGCCACATCTTGCATAGACCCGATTTCTTCCTACAAAAATAGGGGAAATTGGGGGCTTTAGATGCTTTGTGTGCTTGATGGACTTGGAATTGATTCACCACGAAAGTGGGGCAATTCCTTGTTATAATCCTTGTTTTTTAATCATGAGAATGGTTCGGAGACTAGGATACCTTTGTGCATTCTCGGTTGACTCTTTGTTATTTGTTCTCCCTAATCCATGGGTTGTTGAAGCATCTAGATGATAATGTCCCCTAGCTTGAGTCCTATTTCTTTATTTCGTGTTTACATCTTGTTAATATGTGTTTGTGTTACTTTGTTTAGTTACCGTAACATCAATCTTGTTATGATTTGCTTAGCTTCTTGTTGATTTTCTTATGCTAGTGCCTAGTTTCTTGTGATTTCATATTGCGTGCCATAACCCCCAATCCCCTGAGGACGACATATCACACCCGTACACTCACCATCACTGATTTTTGCTACATCAGAAGCCAAATCCAGCTTCAACCTGCCAAGTGTTTGTATTTGAATTACTTTGTCATGTTTGATAGGAAGAGGCCTCAACGTTATGCAAGTGCCCCGAGATCAGCTTGTCGAAGACTAAACACAGGAACATGAGGATGAGGCCCCCCAATACGGATGACATCCGGGACAGCAACAGTAAGCGCAATAAGGATGAGATCAGGGAGATCAATATTGAGAAATGCAGTAATTATACTTGGAAGAAGATAGAGTGGTATCAGAGCGATAAAATGACATTTAAAGTGGTATCAGAGCGATAAAAAGATATATAAAGTGGTATCAGAGCGATAAAAAGATATATAAAGTGATATTTAAACTCTCATTCACCCTCACACTTCACAGTCTCACACCTCACACCATGAGCACTATTGTTCAAGCTCTAGCCAACCCCCAGCTCCACTTCAACTACCAGCCTACCATGTAGATCGACTGAAAACTCGGATGAAAGCCTTGCAATTTGTATTTACACTTGCATCTTTTATCCTTAGCGTTGTCCAAGTGTTTGGTATGTTGTCTAAGCACACAACCAAACTACTTATGATATGGAATTTGTTCATAGCGGGTATAGTACCGGTATTGACAGTACTCATCAAGTTTGCAGAAGGTGGACAAAGACAAAGAGGAAGACTCCCTGGGTGGGCAAGAGCTTTAGGTTGCTCTCTTGTGGACTAGTTAGCGTTGATAACTATGATCTTTAACATTGTATCCTACTTCCTCACAGGTGAAGCCAAATACAGCTTCAACCTGCCAAGTATTTGTATTGGAATTACTTTGTCAGATTTGATAGGAAGAGGCCTCAACGTTATGCAAGTGTTATTAGAGTGCTGCAATGAGGATGAGGCCCCCCAATAAGGATGACATCCGGTACAGTAGCAGCAGGCGCAATAAAGATGAGATCAGGGAGATCAATATTGAGAAATGCAGTAATTATACTTGGAAGATGATAGAGTGGTATCAGAGCGATAAAATGATATTTAAAGTGGTATCAGAGCGATAAAAATATATATAAAGTGGTATCAGAGCGATAAAAAGATATATAAAGTGATATTTAAACTCTCATTCAGCACTATTGTTCAAGCTCTAGCCAACCCCCAGCTCCACTTCAACTTCCAGCTTACCATGTAGATCGACTGAAAACTCGGATGAAAGCCTTGCAATTTGTATGTACACTTGCATCTTTAATCCTTAGAGTTGTTCAGGTGTTTGGTACGTTGTCTAAGCACACAACCAAACTACTTATGATATGGAATTTGTTCATAGCGGGTATAATACATGTATTGACAGTACTCATCAAGTTTGCAGAAGGTGGACAAAGACAAAGAGGAAGACTCCCTGAGTGAGCAAAAGTTTTAGGTTGCTCTCTTGTGGACCAGTTAGCGTTTATAACTATGATCTTTGACATTGTATCCTACTTCCTAACAGGTGAAGCCAAATATTTTTGTATTTGAATTACTTTGTCATGTTTGATAGGAAGAGGCCTCAACGTTATGCAAGTGTTATTAGAGTGCTGCAATGAGGATGAGGTGCCCCAATGAGGATGAGGTGTCCCAATGAGGATGAGGTCCCCCAATAAGAATGACATCCGAGACAGCAGCAGTAGGCGCAATAAGGATGAGATCAGGGAGATCAATATTGAGAAATGCAATAATTATACTTGGAAGAGGATAGAGTGGTATCATACCGATAAAATGATATTTAAAGTGGTATCAGAGCGATAAAAAGATATATAAAGTGGTATCAGAGCGATAAAAAGATATATAAAGTGATATTTAAACTCTCATTCACCCTCACACTTCACAGTCTCACACCTCACACCATGAGCACTATTGTTCAAGCTCTAGCCAACCCCCAGCTCCACTTCAACTACCAGCTCAGTAGTACACTCATTGGACCGGTTGAGTTTAACCTTTCGCAAGTTGCGTTGCAACTAGTTCACTTAAAAGATGAGTTTACGAGGCTCGCACATGTTTAGTTCACTGGTTTAGACAATATTTGGAGAAAGAGACCAATGTATAAAATTTGACAGTGGCAGTGTGGGCCTCATTTATGTGCACTAGCATTTGGCTTTGCTTGTTGAAAAAAAGAAAAATAATAAAAAATACCAGCCTCTTGTCTATATTTACTCTACAAACACACGAGAGCAAGAAAACATTAATAAAAGAATGATTGAGTTACTTTTTGTCTTCTTCCTTCTTGTTCATCTATTCATACACATGTACATACATTCTATCTACGGGAGTTTGATATTCAACATTATAACACAATTTTTGAATATTCACAGTTTTTGAATTTTATATTCATAATTTTTGAACTATATATTTTTACAAATTTTGAACTATATATTCACAAAAAAAATAAAAAAAATCATTAGTTTAGAAAACGGTGTCACTAACAAGTAACAACATCGTTATTCACACGCACTGGACCTCCCCGGTCCACAGCATAATTTGCCTCCACAGATGGTTTGAGCGGCCCAAGGCCGAGGCTTCGCATTGGGCTGAGGCCAAGGTCGACTTCCACTTCACTAAAACAGGTATCAAGCCCATATATAGAGCCGTCAAAACGGGCTTAGCCCGCCGGGCCGTCCCGCCCCGCCCCTACTTAAGTAGGGGGCGGGTTTTGAAAATAGAGAACCGTTTAGGAGCGGGCTTTTTTGGCCCGCCCCGCGACCCGCCGGGCCTGCGGGTTGCCCGCCATTATTTTATTTTATTTTATATAAAATATTTTTATATAAAATATGCACTTTAAAATTATTTTTATGTGTAATATTTTTGGACTTTGTAGTTGTGACTAGTTTGATGTTTGATAAACTATGAACTTTGAACTTTATGTAATATTTAATGTTTGATTATTATGTTTTATGTGGGTTATGACTTATGTATCAATTTATTTTAATTAGTTAGATGTTTGATGAACAATTTTTTTTTTTTTTTAAAAAAAGGGTTTCGGCGGGGGCCCGCCTAGCCCGCGGGCCACTGGCGGGGCGGGGTGGGCCTATCAAACCCAGGCCCGTTTAGGAGCGGGCTTTTTTAGCCCACCCCGTTTAGGCCCGCGGCCCGGCCCGCCTCGCCAGCCCGTATTGACAGCACTACCCATATAAGCGATATACTACTTCACTAAAATATCTACGGACTATTTAAATGAGAATAATAATAATGAAGCCCGCATGGGTAGCTCAACTAGTCATAGAGGTGAAACTTTGAAATAATGACCAGGGATCGAGTCTCACCAGCGATAGTGTGGGAGGCCTTTGTGGTTCATGTTCAGTTCGTCAGAATAATAATAATTAAATTTTGACACACAATTCTGTGTGGGGACTCTCTACTTTTACCTTGTCATTCTCATACGCCTGTTTTCTTCGTCAAACATTATGTACCACCTTAGTCAAACGTTATTTACGAAGTGTAATTAATACTTTTTTAATTCAAATTTAATTAATTAAATTATTAAAAAAAAAAAAAAAACTCCACGCCTTCTCCGGATGGGTTGCCTACTAACCGGGAATGTGACGGTTTTAGTTTTTATTTTTTGTTTTTTTAATTAATTGTTTGATTATTAAATAAAAATCAAAATCAAAATAAAAATAAAAATAAAAATACAAATAAAAATAAAAGTAATAAATATTAATGTTTGACTACATTTAATGAAGGTGGTGCAAATAACATTTTTCTATTTGCACCACCTATAAAGCTATTACACATATTAAATAAGTGGTGTAAATAGCAAATAGGGTGGTGCAATTAGAATTTTTCATACAATAAATACAAGGATAATGGATGTAGATACAATAAATGTGTATCACGGAGACAATATTTGTATTGATACTCAATGTAATGATATTACAAGAGAGTAAGTGATGTCATAGCAAGACAATAATGACTTAATGAGAGTATTTATACTAACCTATCATCTAACTAACTTCACCATTCTTCCAAAAGGCTGAACCCCAACCCTAAGGGCCTCCCACACTCCGACCTGACAGAGCATACCGATGCGGTGCGCACAAGGAACCCCCTTCACCTTGAGAGGTTGCTCCCACACTACCGCTGGTGAGACTGGATCCTTGGTCATTCTTCCAAAGTTTCACCTCTATGACCAATTGAGCTGCCCATGCGGGTATCTAACTAACTTCGCCATAATATGGTAGGTGGTTGAAACTCCCCTCGATCGGATGTCCGGATCCATAGTCGAACTGAGGGTGAACCCAGTGTGCGGAGCACATAAGGCCGATGCCGTCCCCAAACGAAGTGTTATGCCATGGACCCGAGTACAATTTGCAAGGTCGCCCCGGATCCAAAACAACTCAAAACGATGTCATCTGATTTATTTTTAAAAAAAAATTGCTTCCTTCCTTGTCGTTTGTCTTTGGAATTCGTTCACTTATATTCATAATTTTTTAACTTTATTTTCACAATTTTAGAACTCTATACTTACAATTTTAGAACTCTATACTTACAATTTTAGAACTGAATATTCACAAATTTAGATTTCAATATACAAAATTACATAACTCAATATTCACAATTGCAGAACTATATAATATATATTCATAATTTTTGAACTCTATATTTACAAAATTTGAACTCTATATTCACAATTTCATAATTGTATATTCGTAATTAAAGAACTCTATATTCACAATAACAGAATTTTATATTCAACAATATAACACAATTTTTAAATTTTATATTCATAATTTTTTAACTATATATTCACAAAAACAAATCATTAATTGAGAAAACGGTATCACTAACAATATCGTTATTCCAGAAGCACTGGACCTCCCGGGTCCACAGCATATTTTGCCTCCCCAGACGGTTTGAGCGGCCCAAGGCCGCTTCGCATTGGGCTGAGGCCAAGGCGGCTTCCACTTCACTAAAACAGTATCAAGCCCATATAAAAAAGACTGAAAGTAATGGCCCGAAGTGAATAGGTGATATCCTACTTCACTAAAATATCTACGGACTATTAAATGAAAAAATAATAATAATGAAATTCCGTACAGTCTATTTTGACCATTCAACCCACACAATTCTGTGTGGGGGACTCTCTACTTTTACCTTTTCATTCTCATACGCCTGTTTTCTTCGTCAATCGTCATCTCTGACCTCCTACTATGAGCTGTATCATTTCTACAGTATCACTGACTGTTTCTTCTCTACTTTTTACATTACTTTATGTGATAAGTAAACCAAGAAAATATTTTTCTCAACTGGGTTAGTAAATATGCAATTCTCTTTAATATTATAAATATATATACTTTGTGACACACAGTGTAGAAACAGAGACACATGTATTGACTTTGTATATAGCAACTGGCTGGAAAGAGTTTGGAACGTCCAAGCATGGAAAGAGAAAGGGACGATTGCATTCAAAGGAAAAGAAAAAAAAAATGGTTTGAGAGATTTTTCGTGTAGTGTGTGCTTAAGAGACGACTCGGCGTTTTTCTTCAATGCCTGATAAACTACACCACCCACCACGCCTTTTCTTCTTATTCTTTTTGGGTCTTTTTCTCTATCAAATGTGCTGGGCTCTCTGCGTTTTGGGAATCTGAAATGCCATCTTGGTTGAAAGCGTTTACCCACAACTCTTTCAGCTCTCACTCCTCGCGAGCCAACTTGTCGGCGGCTTCTAGTTCCAGGTCCGCTTCTGAATCGCCCGTCGCCCACGGCGGCAGCGCCAGCGACAGGCATGTTTTCGCCGGCGGCGCCGGGCGGCGGCTGATTCGGCAGCGGAAGTTGAGGCATGCTACGGATGATGAGCTGGGATTGAAGTTTGGGGATTTTGATGGGCAGTCAAAGTCAAAGTCTTTGCCGGTTTCCCCGGATTCCGGGTCGCGGTTTCCCCGGAATGCCGGCCACTGGTCCAAATCCGCCTTGCCGCAGCCGCTGCCGCTTCCAAAACAGTACGGAGAGAGTTTACCGGCCAAAGGTGAAGGAGAGGCTCCAACCTCTGCTTTCAAAAGGTGTAATCTTTTTCCCTTTTTAGTCCTTGTTTTACTTCAGTTTAATAATTTATGAAACTATGCTTATTCTTAACCTAAGCTTAGGATTGTTAAATGAATCAGAATATTCTGCAAAGATGATTACTTAAATGAATCATACATCTATATACAGTGACTAATGTGATTGTAAATTGTTTGAAATGCAAATTTGGTAGTAGGGGGGATGTTGATGGTTGATAACCATATTGCCTTCATAGCGCGAAATCCCTCGCCCCAAGGGCCGGCTATCTTTGTGGGCACCAAGCACTACTCGACCTCATTGCCCATAATCTGCTACCTAAGAACCAACTGAGTTATCCGTGCTGGTGGTTTATAACCATCTTGTACTATGTATTTGTGAGCTAACATTTGAATAGTTCTTGTTGGATGTACTTCGAGTATGGTTAGCTGCAAATATTTGGTTCGATTGGGATTTCGTGATATATTGAGCTGTTTTATCGTAATGCAGCAATCCGTCATGTGATAGTGTTAGGAAGGCGGTGAATCCAACGAGGAGAGCATCCACTCCAACTTATCGCCGTAGAGGTTTCCATCAGGATCCAAACGCTAAGGATGGTCAAGATGGCTTCAGGCTTAATGTTCCTCCGAGGAGTGCTCCAACTAGTGGCTTTAACAGTCCCGTTTTAAGCCCGAAAAGGTTTAGCACTGTTGACCTCTTTAATCCCGCATTTCAGCTTTCATCACCACCTTTGGATCGAGTAGCGGGTCATCCTACCCAACTTTCACCGACAAGAAGCATGGATCATTCTCCACCTAGCAACAGTGCTAGGAATCATACCGGTGTTGCAGCACATTCCCATCATAAATCTCTCCCAGAAAGCCCCGTCGCTTGGCCCGACAGTAATAACATCAATGTCCATCCATTGCCCCTCCCGCCTGGAGTATCGAGGCAATCACAATCATGTCCCGTCCGTCAGAATTTAGAGAGATCAGATACACCGCCATTGAAGGGTCTATGGCAAAAAGGGAAATGCATAGGCCGTGGCACATATGGAACTGTTTATGTAGCAACTAATCGGTATATTATCAATTTTTTGCACTTCTTTTTTGCGTTTTTTAGGCTAGTTCTTCTAGCTGAAATGTGAAACTTCCGGTGACAGTGAAACCGGTGCTCTTTGTGCTATGAAAGAAGTTCTAGTCGCTCCCGATGATTCCAAAGCTATTGAATGTGTAAAGCAGTTGGAACAGGTTATTCTCTCCCGTCCTTGTGAGGTTATTGTTTGTGACCATTGAAGACTGACACGGAAAATATTTACCGATTTTGTTTTGATTTTTGCTTCTTGTTTAGGAAATAGAAGTGCTTCGGCAGCTGAAACATCCCAATATTGTACAATATTATGGCAGTGAGATTGTAAGAACATTCTTCACCCTGGTGGACTAACAAACAACTATGTGTCTATCTACGGTTATATTAACCTATGAAATTCAAAATTCTTGCTAGTTTGATGACCGGTTTTGCATATATTTGGAGTACGTTCATCCTGGATCACTTAATAAATATCTCAAAGAGTATGGAGGAGCTATGACAGAGTCAATTGTTAGAAATTTTACTCGTCATATTGTGTCGGGGCTGGCTTACTTACACAGCACCAAGACAATACACAGGTAGGTATCATTTATAATTTTTTTTTGTTTAATTCAGAATGTTGTTTTTACTTGAACATATGACATCATTGTTATCATTCCAAACGGAAGGTCACAGGTTTGAGTCCCATAGTATCATGGTTTTGCCAGAATGGACACGCTTAAGTCACTATTGAATGTAAATTTAGTATAATATTATCTACATTTTATAATTATAATGCTTTATATAATATAATGATGCTACGGTTTGGTTAATCAGGGACATTAAAGGAGCAAATTTGCTTGTAGATGCATCTGGCATTGTGAAGCTTGCAGACTTTGGATTGGCAAAACATGTGAGTTCTGGAAATATTAAAATGCCTACTTTTCCATTGTACTTAGAATTAGAATACATTTGTCTTAGAATACCGGTACAGCTTATCTTATACATTAGCTAGTATGAGTGTGAAACTTGTAGAGTTAATGCCATATGGGGTCCTCCGAATATAGTAGTTTTGTTATGTTTAGTCTTAAACTTTCAAATTGACCACCGGTGGTCCTCCGACTTTCAAATTGTTGCCACCCATTGTCCAAGATAACCACTCATGATCCTTCAACTTTCAAAATTTAACCAGTCGCGGTCCTCTTGGAAGGACCATGTGTGGTTAAACTTTGATTGTTGAAGGACCATGAATGGTTAACTTGGACCACAGATGGTAATAATTTGAAAGTTAAAGGACCATGTGGTCAATTTGAAAATTTAGGACTAAACGTGGTAAAACCGTTATACTCGGAAGACCCTAGATCGTATTAAGCCAAACTTTTATGTTCCCATATCTTCTGTTGTTTTTAGTTCGAGTTAATGCCATCTGAGATCCTCCGAGTATAGTGATTCTGCCACGTTTAATCCTAAACTTTCAAATTAATCACATGTGGTCTTTCAACTTTCAAGTTAACCACCCATGGTCTTTCAACTTTCAAATTTTAACCAACCGTGGTCCTTTCAAAAGGACCACGACTGGTTAATTTTGAAAGTTGAAGGACCTCAGTTTGTTAAAATTTGAAAGTTGAAGGACTACGGGTGGTTAACTTGAAAATTTAGGACTAAACGTGGCAGAACCACTATACTCTGAGGATCCCAGATGACATTAACTCTTTTCCCGTCTCTTCTCTCAGCTTTGCGAGCACACAATGGATCTTTCTTTGAAAGGCAGCCCCTATTGGATGGCCCCCGAGGTATTTCATTCTCTACTTACTAATTATTTACCAAATGATTCTTGTTTCTTATATTTCTTCAGTTCTTATCTTTACCTTTTTTTTTTCACAGGTCCTGCAGGCTGTCTTGCGGAAAGATGCCAATCCCGAGCTTGCCCTTGCTGTTGATATATGGAGCTTGGGTTGTACGGTTATTGAGATGTTCACAGGACAGCCACCCTGGAGTGAGCTTAATGGGGTAAGAAAGTTACTCGATTTCATGCATTCCTTGCACCCATAGCTAATCAGAATGTGACCCGAATCCAACCATGGATTCTCGTTTTTCAAAATATGTTACTTCATGGAATTGCACTACTCTCGAGCTGATTAATTTGATTCCTAGATGGCATTGGAACTTGGAAGACTTGAATCTTGTTAGTTTTTGGTTCTTATATGCGTGATTATGTGTTTTTATAATCGAATCAGGTGCAAGCAATGTTCAGTGTTCTGCACAAATCGCCGCCTATACCAGAAACACTATCTTCAGAGGGAAAGAATTTCCTTCAGTGTTGCTTTCAAAGAAAACCAGCAGATAGGCCATCGGCACTCAAGCTCCTCGATCATCCTTTCCTACGCAATTCACACTATCAACATGTTGCAGGGAGCTCTGCAGATTTTTCTGGAATCAAACATGTAAGAACTCGTCTTCTTCTTCTTCTTCTTATCTTTCTTTTATTTGCTCGGATATTGATTTTGCAATCGCTATGATCCCATTTCTTCCCATTCCAGGATAACACACCACAGAGTCCACAAGACCTGATTAAACAACAGCCTGACCTAACCACAAGTTCACCCAGAACGCCCGTTAGGCACATAAAACTGTCGCGTTCCAGGTAGAGCTCCGTGTTCAATTGTTCATTCCCTCTTTTCAAGACTCTATTTTGCGAGTTTTTATGCGACGAAAACTGTTCTTTTTGTTGCAGTGAATCAGGGTTGCTACCTAATCACGAAACCTCTGATGTTAGCGCAGCTCCTCGTCACTCCCCTCACTCTACTCTCGAAGTGTTCCCCTGCATTTTTTCACCGGAGTTTAACTAGTTGACATGCCGCCGGCCACTCTAATACTTTATGGAGCTCAAAACTGGAAACACAAGTCCTCTTGTTTCTCTTCAAGGACTGCAGGAAATGGAGCCCAGAAACCATGTGTGTATAATATTGTAGGTTGAAGAAGCAGATTCTCTCATGTACAGCTTGTAGTAATACATTTTAACCAAACCCAGGTTGCAGTTTGCATCAGTAATTATTGTTGGGAACATAATTCACAATAAAACTTCCACAATAGATTTTGCAAATCAGACATTAATTGAATATTCTTTTTTAAATTAAGGGTAAGTTGTATCTCTATTACACACCATCTTCAATTCTTAATTGAATGTGCGTAACTTACTGTTCTAAAATGCTAAAATTTAAAAAGCTGCTCAAAGTAGTTTTTTCGATCAGTTTTTTGAGGTTAATTTATCAAACATTTTTCTACCATCAGCTAATGATATCAACTATCAACTAGTCAAACTCACTAACTCAATCAGCTAACAGTTATAACTATCAGTCATTTACCAAATACCCCCAATGTACGGTATTCAACTAACTCACTATGAGTTGTCTCTAAATTTCCTCCGACTAGGATGGGACTCAAGCATATAACATTCCGTTTAAAAGGTAAGAGTTATATCATCAAATCATAAGGTATTTGTTCTAAGTTCGACTATCTTACTTAATTTAATACTAACTGTAATTAAAAAATGAAAAATAGAAAAACAATAAGGCGGGAATTTTAGAAAATGATACCTCGTCCTCTTGAATTTGAAGGCATCTCTTACACAGAACGGCGCCACTGCCTACAATCTCCCATACTATCCTGTAAATGGGCGACGAAACAGTCAAAATCGTTAAACTGTCGGAGCTTGTCGGAAGTTCTCGACCGGTCACCGGAGCATATTCTATCATTAGCAGCCCTTCGGTCTCTCTTTCGGAGTCTACTCGAAATTTCGGAGCTCGAAACGGACCTGATAGAGGCTCTCACCCGGGTACTGCAATTCCCGACCCGAAAGTTCTGAAATCCTTTAAGGCTCCAGTACTTCTCACCGGAACCCTAACTCTCCCCCCTCACAACGACGATTTAGCTTCTGAATGCAATTGCTTTAAGTTTTCTGACGGTTCAGCTACTATCTGCTGCGACATTCTCCAGTTTGACCTGAAGATAATTGGTCAAAGGATCAGAATATTGGCCTGGAATTTCATCCCTCTGAGGCGTAATGGTGGTTTTCTGGAGATTATTCGATGGGATTTTCTAGAGCCTTCTTCGGTCTTCAGCACGTTTTCTCTATTCTCGGGTTCTAGTACTAATTGTACTGATCTTGCAAAAGCTCGGCCTTGTTTAACTGGAGCAGTAGAGTCGGTTAGCCCTGTTTCGGTTGTTCCGTGTATAAGTTCGAGTACCCGTGAGAGTAATGTTTCAAGGAGTCGTGGATTTCTTGCGAAAATGCTAGTCTGTGAGTGTAAATTGTGTAGCTGTACATATTCAACAATTCAATTGCATAATTCGAAAGAACATACAAGTAATCATTGCTTTAACAAGGCCGTGATTGTTTATTTTTGCGGGCCTGCTTCAGTTTGGCATCCAGTAATTACTAGATTAGTTGGAAGTATAGTTTCTTTGTTGGGGTTGAAGAAGAAATTGGCCTATATAATGAAAGAGACATCTCAGTTGGTGTATGTAACAGTGGAAAAATCTTTGATGCGATTGTCTTACTTGCAAGACCAATTTATACAAGTCCAGAAGACTGATATCAGAGGGAATGGTGAATGTGGTAGTTATAGTGGGATTGTTACAGGCATTTACATGCAGGGAATGATTGTTGAGTTGGATCAAGAAGTAATGCTAATGTTAACTGATCACGATATCACTGTTCCTCATGGTTTGAGAGTTGGTGCAATTGTAAGTAGATGAGCAATTTTGTACTCTTAAATCCATCTATATTGTGAAGATTCTTAGGTGTTCTACATAAATGAACATGATGGACTCTGGTATAGATGATTGTCTTCTAACAGATTGCTTTCTGTCTAGGCGTCTGTAAAAAATGTTCACTTTGTGAATCCGAGGTTTTCTTGGGAAAAATTTCTTATTCTGGGATCCTGCATTAAGACTAGCATTTCTGTGAAATCATTCTCCTCATTAGAAACAGGGTTAGTGCCTCTCATCTGTTATGCTATATCTCCAATTCAGCACCTGCAAATGCATTCCATTCATACATGCTGCAATTTATGTGTTGCAGATGCTATACCAAGTCCCAACATCAGAGCCTTTTGAGTAAGTTTATTGACTCATTGACCTTCGTTGCTAGGCTTTGGTAAGTAGGAGCCCTATTTCAATTTATGACATCTTTTTTCTCTACACCTCTCGTTCTTGATTGCTATGTTATATTTGTTTCAGGGTATTACTTCTCATTGCAAGTTTTAAGAGAAAGTTCAGTGGTATCTTATCTATGAAGGAGATATTGGGATCAAAAAATGTAAATTCTCCCTTTTGAAATTAAGTCCAGGACTAACTTCTCCTTCAATTGGAATGCCTTTTCTCTCATGTTCTCTTTCCTAAGAATTGCTCTTATCTGATGTGAACTGTTGCAAGGTGTTATCAGAAGGAAGGACTAGCTCAGCTTTATGCAAGATCACGTTTACCTGTGTCAGCATTCTTCCCTCAGGTAAATATGTGAGCTTGATGGGCAACACACAAATTTTCTTTTTTTCATTTTCCCTTGTCTTTACCTTACTAACTTCTTATGTTTGACAGCGTGGAATATTTAAGGAATTCTGCGAGCATGATAGATGTGCCTGTGGCAGTGAAGTGAATTATTTTCACTCTAGTTTAGTAAGTATAGAAGACTAGGACTTCTCATGTGAAATTATAACTTTGATGAGTTCAAGACTGAAAAAGTAGCTCAGATCCTAGCTTTTCCATGGACATCATTTTCAGGTGGTACCATTTTCTAATTTAATAAGTTATTGTGAGTCTATTTGGATGAAAATGTGGTCGGATCAGGAGAGAGATTATGATATCATGGGCTGGAAAGACCAATGCAACTCGATATCTTGTGGGAGCAGAGATCATGTGCAGTTAATAAGGAGAACTGTCCACAGTGATGAAATAGGTATTGCTTTGGTTGGACGCCTAAAGGTTAGAATCTTATCTATATTGTATTCTTATCTTTTAAATAACAATTTCTGGGAGTATTCCAATGGCAATTTTTTGCATTTGATATCGGCAAAGCTTCTATGTTTAAATAGATAATTCTTAAGCCAATTATGTTAATGTGTTAATCATCCAGATTTCTGCATCTTCTGGAAGGTTGCAACTAGTTGATGCAACTGGAAACATTGATGTTATACCAGACATTTCGTTGAATTGGAATTTTAAGAGGTTATACGAGGTAATTTGCCATTGCAATCTTTCTTCTTTTTTTTTTTTTTTTTTTTTTTTTTTTTTTTTAATAATTTTAAAAAATAAATTTCAAATATTGGCAGTTGTGTTATAAAAGGAATAATAATGTCTTATATTAAACTTCTGCAAGTTTCTACATTTCAGGTAAAGAAATTCACTCTCATTATGGAAGGCATGCCTGAAAAGATGGATCGTATCAATTTACTCCAAAATGAACCTTTTACGTGTCGACGCATTTTCACTAGTGGCCCATTCATTAGAGAGATTAATATGTCTCTCCATCTTTCCTATAATGTGGCAGACAAAATATCCATTGATCATCCAGTTTCTGATTGCATCAATATGAAAGAGACCTTTCAGGAGCTTGAAAGTGGAAAGTTTCACCTGCTTTGGATAAAGCATAAATTTCCCATCCTGCAAAAGGTATGTCTTTTTTGCAAGCATCACATACCAGCCTCAGACTTTGTTGTGAGATATATTGTTTTTGAGTTCTTTGTTTATCCCATATTTATATTTCTCAGTATCATCATCAAAGCATTTCAAGTAACTCAAGTGTGTTTGCTGAGGCTCTAGTTCTGCCTTGGGATCTGCATATTGGTGAGAATAATGGAGATGCACTTTCTGCACCTTTTTCTGACCTACTGAAGGATTCCGTGGAATGCCTAACCAGAGGTTTACCTCCTTGTAAAAAGGGAAAAATTGGCCATCCATCAAGTGAGCCGCTGCCCCTGACTGTAAAAGTGGAATTTAATTATAGTATAGCTGGTACTTGGTGCTTATGATGAACATTTTGCATTTTTTCAGCAGGGAAATATTGTAATTTTAGTATCCTGTCGGAAGTTCCCTGTCTTGTTACTGGTAGAAGAGTCAATTCCGATTGCATTGGCAGGCTGCAATGCAATAATGTTGGTGTGAAGTGTGGCTGTTCTGAACATGAAATTAGAAAGGCATTACTGGAGTTCAGCTTTGAAGCCTTTTCCATTTACGAGGTCTGGTAATTTGCTGATCTTGTATCTATTGTCTGCTTAATAGGTCTAGCTGAGAAATATTAAGTTATTTTGCATTTAAACAGGTTATTTTAATTTTTACAGACTCACAACTTCTAACCTAGTTACCTTTACCTAAAGTGCAGGCCATGAAAATTGGTTGTTATTACATCATAGAGCATCACAATGAAGATATGTTATGCACATCACCAGATGGTGGTAAAGTACTTTTGAATTCTAGAAATCATATTTGGAGCCTTTCGTTCTCAACAGATGAGATTCTCCAAAATTCGAATTCATCATTTATATTTCCACAAGGTAGTTCAATTGTCAACGACAATGAGGTTTCTCCTGAAGGCTATCATCAACAACAAATTCCACCCTCGGAACCACACAGCTTAAGCACTGAAATACATACTGATGTTAACTTGTTTCTGTCTTCTGCATTCATTAGCCTCCTTGAGGATAAATTCAAGTTGCCAAAGGTAGGTCTGATCGATCCTCTTGCTTCATCTGAAGAAGAAACTGAGACCAATTATTGCAGTGGCACCATGGTTACTCCTTTAATGCAACCCCATGGAACAAGATATTCTGACCACCATTTACCGAAAGGAGATCTAATATCTTTATGTGGACGAGTACAGGCTATTCATTATTTAGATGAGAAATCACTTCCTGTACCTCTAAGGTGTGAAGTCCATAGTGGTGCTCATTCAATGTTCTTTGAAGAAAAAAGTTTCTGTGTCCATCTTATGGTGGATCAGAAGATGGTATTTCTAAATCTATCTGCTTTCTGTTTTTCACTTTTAGCAACCCTAACATATTACATTAATATTATTAACTAACTGGTTAGGTAAGGATTTATGGTGCTTCACATAAGCATGCTTGCCCTGCTGGATTTGGAAAAGGTGTCACTGCAACATTTCATCGAATCCTTGTGCTCAGGTATGCAATGCTCTTTTTGTACATGCACCTTGAATCGCTCAACGTTAAAGCTCAATGGTCCTAGTAACTTAACCATGGTGTTGTCTTGACATCCTGAGAAGTTGTTTCCACCTTAAGTAATAATATACCTATATATGTTGTTTTTTCTAGTGGGCAGGATAGTTTCATGCTGATACCTGCATCTTTCATCAGTGTACACTCTAGAAGTGAGATTTATGATGTATTTGATGATATGAGCCATTATGCTCCTGCTGATGCAGAATCACTTAGTGTGGCTTCATCTAGCAATGTGCCTAAAGCTTTGATTTATGAAATGATGCATTGCTCGAAGACTAAGCCATTGCAGTTGCGTGGCAGGGTAAGTAGCCTTCAATGCTTAACTATTTTTATACTTGATGTTCTTGTGAGATTCTCTTTTCACGGGGTATCTTCTCCATGCACAAGGACATCACATAGTTCTTTTGATTCCTGTCACTACATTTGTCAGGTTGTAGCTGTTTATGCTCTCATCCTGGAGAACAAGGATGCTATCAACTCTTGGCAAAGGATAAAGTCCAAATCTAGCTCATCTTTGATTAACATCCCACTTGCCGGGTTTGTCTTAGGTAGGTTTATGCCATTTTCTGTTTTGAAATGTTTCTCATTTAGTTTGAGAAATTTAATGTGTAACATGCTTATGTAGATGATGGGTCATCTTCCTGCTGTTGCTGGGCTAACTGTGAGCGTGCAGCAGCTTTTCTTGGATTACATTCTAAAGAACATTGCAAAGCATGTGAAAAGTCCTCGTGGAGCTCAAGAAAGAGGAGAAAAGATAAAAGCTGCAGTTCGATTGGCTGTCGTTTGAACAAAGTAATTAAGCGCCTTGGCAGGGTTGTCGTGAAAAACCATGGATCAACATCTGATCCTTCATTGCAGGACCTAATGTTCGCTGTCAACTCAGACGAAATCATTAGCAGCTCAGATGAAGACTTCCTCAGGTCTCTGATTCTAAGAGCTTGTTCCAGCACCAGTTTGGTATGTTTCCTTAACCAAAACTATAACTCTCAAGCCACAATGCCCTACCTCGCTTCCCGATTTACATGTTCTTCGTTTCTTGTCTTGTCAGAACGTCGTCGCTAGTCTCATGAATTCAGAAGCGACCAATGCACTCAAACAACATTTGACTGGACTAGATATGGTGATGCCTCAGGTGAAGAATGTTTGGGCATTAGGAGTTGATCACATAGAACCTCTTGCAGAGGCAAGAAACATCATTCAAGAACTTGTTGAAAATACCTGATTGACCAGACAATTCTGCCATATTAGCGGCTCTGTATAGCCTGGAGGGCTTAAGATGTGACTGTAAATACCTTTGGTAAAACTACTGAAAGAGTGGCAACCTCTTTGCTGCTTTTTCATTTTTGTTTACCTATATTATCCAAGTTGTACTAGGTGGTCGCTTCTTTAGACTTATACTCGCACACAATCAGCACACTCAAGGGTAAATCTCGCTTTGTGACCTTAGTAGATAGGAACTTGTAAATAGGTAAATCAGAAGTCGTCGAACTTGTAATATTGTGATGATCAAGTTAATACTCAGATCAACTTAGCTGAAGTTGTGTTACATTATACTTGATAATTAGTAATTCACCAAAGTACTTTTGCAAATATTAAGGTGGTGGTTTTCAATTTCCAGATTTGGCCCCAACATGTTTACCAAATTAAAACTATGAACCAACTGATTGATTTAATTTATGTAATTTAATATGAAAGCCGACAAGATGAGATTAATTAACAAGCAACAAACATTTTACTATAATCATCATCCTAATGAAACCCAGTGGAAGGCCCAGAAAACGACGACGTAACGTACTCTCTTACTTCCTTAGCAATCACCTCCCTCATCACATCCCAGAATCCCGCCGGTAAGCTCTCCGTCCGTCTCTCCGGCAGTTCGTGTCCGCCCATTCCCGGCGGCGCCAGGGACAGAGTTGTCATCGGATCATACTCATCGTCACAATGACTTAACGGGAACGTTCTACCGCTACTAGTATTTACTCTGGGACTCTCTCCGGCGTTGATATTCATGCATAATGTAGAGTTTTCCAAGCCGAAAAACACAGATCCCGACGGGCTACTTTTAGCGTCGGCAACCTCGGTGAAATCGAACGTTTGATTTTGGTTCTGGTTCTGGTTCTGATTCTGGTGTTGGTATCTTCTCTTTAAGGTGGAGTTCCAGTGGTTCTTGACGGCATTATCGGTCCGACCAGGGAGCAAGCGGGCAATGGTGGCCCATCGGTTTCCGTATTTTGCATGGGCGGCCAAGATGGTCTCATCCTCAGCCGGAGAAAAGGATCGGTGCTCCACACTGGGGCTGAGCTGGTTACACCACCGGAGCCGGCAAGACTTCCCGGAGCGGCCCTTTATGTACTTGCTAATCAACGACCAGTTTCGCGGCCCGTACCGTTCCACAAGCCGGGAAAGGATCTTGTCCTCCTCCGCACTCCACGGCCCTTTAATCCTCTCCGGCCTATTCCCATCTCGCGGCGCCTTTCCGCCGGCCGAGAACGAAGACTCCGACGAAGATGAGTCGGACGATGTAGAAGAAGTCGATGAGCTCCTGTTAAACGCTTCCATCAAACAGATTGAAAGAACCCAAGAACAACAAGTGAAAGATCAGAGAGACTATTAAATTTGTCTTCTTGGGAGCGAAGATGAGGTCGGGTTGTGGTGTTGAGTTGAATGCTCTGGCGATGGGAGCTAAGACGCAAGCTATATATAGAGAGTGAAATGTATGCATCTATGTACAATGAAGGTACACTTCAAGGAATAATAGAAGCTACTTTTAGGGTGCATGCACTCACCCACTTAGGGCCATACCTTCCAAACCCAAACCATTGGTACAAGTAATTTAATCCCACAAATTTTATTTCAAGATCCAAATGAATTATAACATTGTATATACTTTTATGTTTTGTCATAATCACATCAAGAGATGGTACAACTTTCAAAGCACATAGTACAACTTTTCTAATCAGTCAAACTCAGACCAATTCTCCAGAAAACATATCTTTAGGCCTATGAGTAGAACTGTCAATGCGGATTGACGGGGTGAGCTAAAAATCCCTCCAAAATGCGGGCCTAGATAATGGCAGCCCGCCCCGCGGGGCCCGTCATACCCGCCTATCCTGCCAGCTCGCTCTAAAACGGGCTTTAAAATTTCGAGCCCACCCCGTCCTTTTAGCAGGGTGGGACGGACTAGCTCGTTTTGACAGCTCTACCTATGAGATCGATTAGGCATATTGTTCATATTAGCTACTAAACTAGATGGTTTGCTTATAACTTGCACATAACACAAATTCCAATTACTCAAATTCAGGTAAGTCCTCTCGAAAGCATATCATTAGACTTATAAGATTAGATCTATTGTTCATATTACTAGGCTAGATGGATTACTATATAACTCGCATAGTACAAATTTCTAAATAAGCTAAACTTAGGTCAGTCCTCTCAAAAGCATATCCTTAAGCCTATGAGATTATGTATATTGTTCAATTAAGTAGACTAAATAAGCTGCTTATAACTCCATCACTTATATTTGTTATCCCAATATTCATAACAATCAAATATTTATAACGTAAATTAGACCGATACAAAGAACTTTCTTAATCTATGTTATTCCGTTCACAAGATTAAGACCTGATAGCATATATTTAGTGCATAAACATTGGGAAGTTTTGTCGTGGTTTGGTTGTAATTGAAAGGCGGGGTGCGTTCTTGGAAAGTTCCAAGTGTAAGGGTTGGTAGGGGCAGGAGGTTCCAACTTTTAACTGAAAGTAGTGCGTAGATCCCAGACCAGTTGTTAAGCATATACTAAATTTATATTATATAAATATAGTTTATTGTGATTGTGTTTCTCTGTGACCAGATTTTGTCTTGGTTGCTTCTGCTCTCTTCTCATCACTAAACAAATATAATCACATTTCTCAATTAGCTCAAATAAAAATTAATTGGACAAGATTCCAAATTCGATTCCTTGTAGAGTTGTCTATTGTCTTTCTTAATTTGAATCGATCAGTTACAGATCATTTAGACTAATTTACCTTCTTATAATCTTTTATCAACTAATATTACAAAACGAGTTTTACTCAAAATGCACATTTAAATATCGATTATGGATCTTTTCGTAATACTTTTTAAAAATAGTACTCTCTCTCTGTATATGAACAGAGGTCCATTGAATTTGGTCTGTCTGAGGCATATACATATATTCTTAAACTTTAACCTCACTGCATTTGGTTTACAACATGTTGTCCCCTCCCCAAAGTCTAGTCTATATTCATAAATGCAAGTGAGGATAAAGTAACCATAATTCTTGTATGTACATTATCCGTACGATTGTGGGCTCTCAATTTTATTGCAGCATTAATGGGGAGAAAATGAGTGCGACAGGATTGAAGGGTATATTCAATTCTTGGGTCTATGGTTCTTTATCTCAAGTATATTCATTTCATCATATTAAAATGAATTTTACAATAAGATATTATCTCCATTATATTTTAGGTATGATTTGAGTCTATTAAACTTGATTGAGAAAAATAAAACATTTTTACTATACTCTGTCAATTATTTATGAGTAGTCTTTTTTTTTTTTTTTGGTCGGTCGTTATTTCTTTCAAATTTTAGTTATTTCACACCAAATATAAGGATTTGGAGAAAAAAATGAGTGTGTTGACTTAAAATGAGTCCAAAAAAATATCGATTTAATTGAATTGAAGTTAAAAGTAACTAATGAAAGTAATAAAATGCTCATGTAATATGCCATGACAACAATTGTTGGTAGTATGGCGTACCTAAAAAGAAAAGAGTAAGTACAATGCTTGAATAATCGTGAATAATAGAACTATGAAACCTTATATTTGATAGACTATTTAGTAAACATGGCCCGATAATAACACCATTTTTGTTTCCTAGCACTTAAAAAAAAAAAAAAAAAAAAAAAAAAAAAAAAAAAAAAACTCTTTCACATTTGAAGTGTTTCACCACCTATACATTGTGACACTATTAAGATCGTAATATCATGTCATATGGGATCCTCTAAGTATAGTAATTTTGTCACGTTTAATTCTAAATTTTTAAATCGATCACATGTGGTCATTCGACTTTCTAATTGTTCTCATCTGTGCTTCAAGTTAACCACTTATGGTTCTTCAATTTTCAAAATTTAACCACTTTTGGTCATCTTGAAAGGACCAATGGTGGTTAAAATTTGATAGTTGAAAAGCATAGTGGTTAACTTTGATTTCGGATGGTAACAATTTAAGAATCGAAGAACCACATGTGATATTTTAAAAATTTAAGATTATATGTGACAAAATCACACTATATTTAAACAATTTCATATGGTATTAACTCAAATATATAAAACTTAATATTGTCTCATATATCCCTTCACCAAACAACCAAAATTTTGACTATATATGTTACAATTTTTAAAAAATAAAGATAGAAACTACCCAACGGTTTTTTTCTCAACTTGCTTTATTTTTTAGATTAATTATATTTTGGAATCGTTATTCATAAGCAAAGCGCTGCGTCAGAAAAAAAAAAAAAATTGAAAGAAAATACCGTCTCGAGAAGCAAAAGAAAATATACTTAAATTAATGACAATAGTAAAACGTAATCATTCTCATACTACATAAGATATAAATAATAAACGTGGCTACGTTTAAAACATTTCAGACAGTACGGTAAAGAGGACGCAGGGGTTTATGTTTAACGTCGTCCTCTTAATATTATCATTTGATAATCGTAACGCCGTTTTCGTTAATTGAAAATTAGGATAATGAGAAAAGCGATCAACTTGGGGGGCTCTCTTTTTGACTAATTTGCAGACTTACAGCTGGGTGTCTTTAATCTTGACCACTCGTCGTATTAACGGACGGCTCAGATCATCCCTCCTGATTGCAACTAGTGGGAAACAGATTATAAGGATTACTTCAACCAGTCCTACGTTGGATGGGCCCACCCACAGGCTGGACGAATCTCACGTGATTCGAGTCTGAAATGTATTGACTTTTTAGCGTCTGTGTCTGTTTACGTGGTGGGGTTCCCGAGCCGCGGTGGGGGGCGCGTGGGGAGAGTGGGGGGGGAGCGGTAGTAGGCGACAAGAGAGTGAGGAGGACGCGGCGGTTAACGAGAGGGGGATGGGGTTTAACGCACGGTTGTGGTCTGAAAGGAATAACGTTTGGATGATGATGTTAGGCCGCCCACGTGGCGTAATGTGATAGGCGGAGTGGGAGGATTGTGATTTTGACCCGAAACGGAGCAGTTGGACGGTTGAAACTGGTATAGCTGGCAAGCTTCACCGACTTGTCTTCTCCCGATGCGGCACGAAACCTCCAACCTCTTTCGTCCCCCTGCCTCGCCAACTTTATGTAATAATACTATATAATAATTTCAATTTAGCGAGGAATTAGTCACTGTGTTCGACGATGAAAATTCTGGGTATACCTAAAAAAAGAAAATTATAATAATTTTAATAAATTAATTATCAAATCGTAAATTTAACTGACTCATAAGGCTTGTGCTATTATTTCGTACTATACAGTTATTAAGCCAGGCCAATTGAGCTGTCCTATAACTCATTACTAGCATTTTGGAGAGCTATTATCGAATATGATCCAACTGATATTCGTCTGGATTAATCTCATCTCACAAAACAATAATTATGCATAAACGGTTTGGTATAAATTCCAATTTAGTATAGTAAAACATGAGAGGATGAGGTTTCCTCCCCTCTTTCCTCTCTCCCTTTAATAAGTGGGATTAGAAACAGTAGAGACCAAACAGCAGCTTACTAAGGCTACAAATATGTTGGTGCTAATGGGGCATATCCAGCTCATTCTATTTCCTATATTATGTATCTGCCCATAATTCTCCGTTTTTTCTTAATCGCAAATTCTCTTGTCTTGTCCCTATCCACCATCCTTAATTGCCTCAATCATCAACCCCCGTCTCCGTGCAGTGTACTGAAACCTCATCTCCATTTCATATGCTCCGTTATTTGTTTAATCTTTTCTTTATTAACTTTACTGAAATAATGTCGCCGCAATTTGGTACAATCACGTAACATTATATTGTGGATTCACCTTTTTCTTTTAGTTTGTTATTAAGCATAATCATATGCTAAAAGAATTGGACATCATTAAAGGATTAAAAACATATGGGAAACCTTCCTCGTATCATGTTTAGGATCGCCCGCACATGGTTCCCAAATCTTTAAGTTCCCTTAATTGGGACTATGCTATCTGCTTTCACTACCTTGCCTAGAAGTTTCTTAGCTTCGGGGATGTTTGCCAAATGACGGACGAATTAAGTTTTTGAAGAATTTAATTAATTTTAGCAATTTTAACGAATAATCTGTTGGAAAAAATAGCTTAAAATGGCATAAAATGACATGTTAAGTGGCTATTTTGTGGTACAATTATCAGTGGGGTCCACTTCCGATTTGGGTCGGGTCAAAGTGGATTCGGATTCTTCGTAGTGAGACGAAGAGATCGATATATTGTACGCTCAAAACGGATAATGGGTGAATGAGATATTGATTCTCAAAGTAGACCCATTTGAGTTGGAAAATGAAGGGAAAAAGTGAACTTTTTGTCCCACATTGCTTTGGAATGAAGATTTTCCCCCCTTATATACAAGAGCTCTTTTGAAGCTTGTAGAATTGTATAGCATAGAGGCTCTCTCGCGTGCGGGGGGGGGGGGGGGGGGGGGGGGTTGCAAATCAAATTCCAACTAGCAGAGATTGAAAAAGGCTATTGGGAGGGAGCTCGGGCCGAAACTGTTCTGACTGTTGCCAT